CGATACTCAGATGCACAGAGGAAAAATTCTTTGTTTTGCTTATAAAAGTAAGACTAGAAGTCTTTTCACTTTTAGGATTAGTAAAGCCTTCTTTTTTGTCATTTATTTCTGACAGTGCACATTTATAGGGTTCTACTGATCTCTATCCCTAGTGGCAATTCCATCCGTCATTCTTCATTAGCGCCTGTCACCCGATTCTCGACTCTCGAGTGGCCAAAATTATTGATATCCCGACCCTTAGTCACAGGCACTTGACTTTGCACACGGTAGTGCCTCGTAATTAGTGGCCAATAAACCAAATGAAATTCGAACTAATGGACGCAAAGGAAAGGGATTTTATGGCTCAGGTTTTCCGCGTAACTTATTCCCAATCTTTATCGGTAAATCGTTGGAATATATATATTTACGATCGCCGGCATCGCGGCATCGAAATCACAGTCCACATAATCACGCGCTAATAACCGCGATAAGTTGACCACAAGACCGGCTACCGAATACTCCGATAGGATGAGCCACCGTTGTACCTCCGAAAAAAAGAACCCCACCACCCACTGCCCGCTGAACGCCCTTCGATCAACCCGTGCGCGTTTATTAATTAGAATTTATGGTCCGGCTATTGTCGCGTCCATATAGAGACAATAAATAGCCATTGTATATGTTGTTGGAACTGGAAAGGCCTAATCTTATCGCTCCGGCTCAGCTCTTCAGTTCTTTGGTTCTTCTAAAGGGGTTTTTGGACAGGTGAAGAGCTTCTCCTATCGCCCAGGAGCGGTTGTCCAGCCAGATCCCGTCGAGATCTAGTCAATATTAAAATAGATTAAATCTGGGAAGTATTTAAAGGCAGCAGGAGGGTATCTCCACTTAAAGTTTGCATACTAGTTTTAAATGGAATTTTTTGAGGGAAAACCTTATCAGGTCGTTGGAAAATTTGCATTTTGAGGAAATACTGAAAAATCTTTAACTTAATAAGGAAACTTTCCTGATCCTTATAAGGTTACTTAACGCATTATGAACCGCTCCTGAAGTCAGCCACACGACCCATTGACAATCTCTGGGATTTAACTGCCACGCCCACCTGCCACCCACTGCACACCTGCTGGTTCTGCTGCTACTGTTGCTTCTTCTTTTCTCCTTCGGTTATCTTAGTTCACCTTTTGAAATTGGCAAATCTGGCCAAAATGAGTTAACAAAAATAATACAAATAAAAATAAAATATATATAATAATGCGGCTGGGACGGAATGTTGGTTTGGGGGCTCTATCTCTATCTCTGTCCGATTATTTACAGTTAGCTCCGGCCAGGCGATAACCTTGCCCACATATATCTTGGCCAGCTCTTGGACCGCCATTTGCGATTACCTGGTGGCGACGGCGACGCCGACAGCGACGCCTGCCACTAATCACTCCAATTAGCTAGAAAGTGCTTTTCGTTTAAAATTCGCACGTTGTCGCAGTTTCTTGGCATTGTACTGTGAGGCTCTGAGACAGCCACTTGGCCATTTGTGGAGTTCCCTTTTTTGGTTTCGATATTGGTTTTTGGTTCAGTTCATACCAAAACTCAAGTTCTGCCGTGTCTATTACCACAAAGGATCTGCATTTTTTTTGCCCCAAAATTGTGAGTGTGTCCAAGTGATGATCCTGCTAAGAAATAATAAAAGAAAAAATAAATCTAATAAACTAAAACTCAAAGCAATATAAAAGCCATTATTAATAAACAATAAACCGAGTTGAACGGAACGAGGCGAAAGAGAAACAAAAAGCCATTACAAATAACAAAAATCGAATGCACAAAAAATCACAAATTGTTCAAAATTTGTAGTATGTAGTAATAATAATACGAAAAACAAAAAATAGAAAACAAAAAACAGAAAACAGAAAACATAACAAAACAAGACAAACTTGAGTTACTCTATAACGAACAAAAAACAAAAAACAAAAAAATGTATCTATAACTCGTTGAACAAGTGCTATAAAGTATACAGTTTAAGGTTTTCCACTGCCATACAAATAATACTATAGATTTTTTTTATTCGTTCAATTGCGGAAACTTAAAAGCAGTTCCGCGTGTCAGGAAAAAGTCTTAAATCTTGTATAAAAATAATTCGATTCGTTTAAAAAGAAAAGTTTACAATTTCTTTTCGTTTTTCATTTGCCAAGTTCAATGGTTTGCCAAAAATTGTGCCAAGTTTAAGAGCTTTTCTTTAGTTTACATTTTATTGCTATAAAATTCAATTTAAAACTTTCAAAACTAGCTACAAATGCAGATATTTTAGAAATGATTTAATATATATTGATTATTAATGAATGTCCTTTTAAATTTGTTAATTATATCAATCAAAAATCAGTGAGCTTCTAAAAGTTTTTCCCTTTAAATCCTTTTTTATGAAATTTACAAAAACCCCAAAATATTTTAATATTTTTAAGGGTATCTCGAAAAGGTCTGTAAAACTCGCATAAACTTAGGTGAAGGGCCCTGTAGCAAATGTTAATAATAAATAAAAGCGAGTGAATAAAAACTTTTGGCACCAGCCAATTTGTAGGCCACTTAAGTCCCGATCTACGAGCGGCAAAGATAATGCAGATTGTCTATGGCCGATTTCGAAACGCGATGATTGAAAGGGAAATACAACGACCACGACGATGTCGACGACGACACCGACGACGAATACGACGAGTCGTGTGTTATGGAGTTCCCGACTTTGATGAGTGCGTTATTTCGCTAGAATAATAATTGAAATCGAAATGCTTTTTTTAATGACGTTTGGCGCGTGTCGCTTTTATATATATATATATATATATATCTGTATATAATATATAAAAATAACCCCACACGCAGCAGCCATAAAAATCTTTGGCTCAAATGTAGAGAGAACCGGCAATTGCCGGGCCAAATTCGGATAATAGATATATAATATATATCTATTCTTTATATAATCACTGGCGGCATTTTCAGTTTCATACCGATGCATGCCATCTGATCGGGGAAATCCGGCGAAACTATATCGCATTTCGGCTAATTGAAAACCAGCGAAACACGTGCTGTCCCTGTCCGAATATATATATATATATACGCTATATAAATCGACTTTTGCCAGCTGTTTGGCTTTAAGATAATTAGCATTAGACGTCGCCGACTTTGTTGTGATGACGTCAGTGGTAGGTAGTCGCCAGTAGCAAGTTCTTTACGAGCTGTATTAATTATGGCCAGGTTTTTGTGACTTCGTTTTCGTTTCTAATACAACACCAAAAAAAAGTGCACAACTACGACGTATTATCTGCGATAAGTAGGGTAAAATTAAATCAAATCATGCTCTCTAAATATAAAGCCATAGTCGTAACAGATACTTAAACCCTATAATCGATTATTGTCTGGAATATAGTATGGTGTAGTATGTAAATATTAGATCACATACTAGTATTGACCAAAGTCACTTTTCTCGTGCTCTTCACGCAACAAATTCAACAGTCACTGCCATAACACTAAGTCCCCAATATACGTATACTATATACGACTATATAATATGGCTATGAAGTCACATGCCGAGTCACGGATTGCATCCCAGAAAACAGCCAGAGAATATATAGCCCACAGTGAGGGCTAAAATGTATGGGCCAGTTTGTACAGCATTTGATATATAGTGGTAATAAGTCGTGGTTGAACTAATGAAATCATAAAAATAAAGTCAAAGCTAACTTGCCATTTCAAAGATAACAAATACGTGAAAGGCCGTTTTCCCTAACTTTACTGGAGTAATCTGTCTTAGTTAAAGGAATAACTTAATACACCTGAAAAATACTAACCAGTATCAGTTAAAACTTCAAGGGAATTCCAAACAAAATATTCCAAATTAAGGACACTAAAAAACAATTTAATTACAAAAGTCAAGAGCCAGCTGGGCCATCAAAAATCAATTAAAATCTTTCAAAATCTCTGACGAGTCACGTTCTGTTAGAAAACCCCAAAAAAGAGGAATCAATTATCATTTCGATTTAATAACACTAATAAAAAATGCACACAAGTTCTAGGAAATAATAAAGTTTAGTTTAGTAACAGTTCAGTGATCCACACGTGACTGCAAATGGCAAAGCCCGAGCTAGGCCATCGATATTTTTGGTCTATATCCTCATCGTTTTGGAATCGTTTCGTTATTTATGAAGTATTTTATTCCCTTACTTAGCATAAATGAATATTAATTTATGTAGAATTGTAAAAAGAAACCGAAGCCGGCGATCATCGGCGGCATGAATATAAGTCATAAAGTTTTTAGCATTTTTATGCTGGAGTTTTGTTTATTTTTCTATGTTCGGCATTGTTGTTAACGTTAATTTTTTCCCTGTTTATTTCCTTTGAGAATTTCTATGCCAATGTCTGGCCATAAAAAAGTTTACCCAATTTTTTTTTATTATTATCATTACTGGTTTTTTTTTTTTTTTTTTTTTTGCTGTGTCGTCAGGGGTTTCATTGTGTTTTGTCGCTTCAGTTGAGGGGCCTGAATAATAGTTTTGGATACCGCCTAATATGCAATTAATTGGACATGAACTTGAACTGCGGCCGAAACGGGGAGCGGGGGATGTCAATTATAAACAATTAGACAATGGCAAAATTGGTAACCAACCGATGGGAACGCGCGGGCCAAATGAATGGGGAAGACTTGGCCAGAATGCTTCTGAATCTCAAACAGATTCGCAATTGTTGTTCCTGGCTTCATAATATACAGATATATATATATATATATGCGAGCCAGTCAGTCAGTCAGTCAAGCAGTTAGTGCCATCAATTTGTCTACGAAATTTCCAACAATTATGGCTCGGTCCAGGCAATTTTCAATAACGAAAATCTTTCTGTATTGAAGTTATTATATTTTTTATTATTATTGTTATTACCTTTGTTGAATACATATAGAAACACACGTAAATCGCATGCTGCTCTGTACACTCGTACATTCACAGCAAATGAGTTTATAATCTTATGGTCTAATGGTGTTACATCTCTCTTTACAGGCAACTTCTTACCTTGGGTTAATTGATTAACCAGGCCCAAATAATCCCAAAATCCAAAAGGGAGCGGAGAACACAAAGAGCCAGCAAGATGACTGGTTTCACGAACGCCGGTTTCGAGAACGATGAGCCCGTCAAGGTGAGTGTTTTCTCCTCGGTACTGTTGAGTGTGGGAGTGGGAAAAGGGATCTGGAGTCCCAAGTAGTTATCCATGCCGGAGAAGTGCCTACCTGGTGTTCACCATCCACCTCATTCATCTTGAACACAAGTGCTGGCTGGACACGTCAATGTACCCATAATGAAATCACCGGCCCACAAATCTTACAAACAAAGAAATCACGAAATGAGGCTCATTATTTCGAGTTTTGCATAATTAAATGCTTGCTCTTCCTCAATTACTTAACATATGAAAACATCAGGAAACCCTATACCAAATTTAAGCCAGGAACCCCAATTCGTTGCTTAGTTCACCTGCTTGATTATGGTAACTAACTAATTCCTTGTTTTCTTTTTTCCTTATGGCTTATCACAAGGCTTTTGTACTGTTCGAAGCTTTAATAGTTACCCTACTTTCTCGTTACTGATTAGAACATTTACATATCTTGGATCTTTGAGGTAAACTAATCCATTAGTTGGACAGATAATTAGGTTTATTGGGGGAATTACAAAGAGATCAACTAGTTTGCACTTAATTAACCAAACTGGTTCACCGCTTTATGGCTTATAGGAAGTCTTTTTCAATTAGGTCTGGATTTAATTATAAAAAAGAACCTGGCATTTTCTGCAAAACACGATGGCGTGTAAAGACCCAACCTTAGGCACACACACCCTCAGCGCTCACCCGGATCAGGTTTCCATTAAAAATGTCCAGCGTATTTCCCGGGTTCGCATAGAACTTATCGGAATGACCATAATCGCTGGCACTTGAAAATTGTTGTCACATTCTCGCCATACGGTTGACCGTCGTCTCGTTTTTGGCATTCATTCATGCATGGCTGGGCTATATCATATATATGTATATACCTATATAGCCTATAAGCTGGATTACACTTATCGAGTGTGTGTGTGTGTGTGTCTGGGCTACTATCGTTGTATGGGTTTTGTATTGTTTTGATGTTCAGTTAATGACTGTGTTTGCCTTCGCCAAAAGAAATCATGTTTTATAATGACACGCGTCACAGTTTGGTTTTTGTTTACGAGATGGCCCTGCCCGGGGAGGAAGTGTCCAATAAACCGAGAAACTCGGGCGAACTAAACTCAAAACTCGGCTGTTGGCTGTCGGCTGTCTGCTGTCGGCTGATAATTCCAATGATGATGATCATTAGCATTTGGTTTTTGGCCACTCCTTGGCTTTTAATGAGGCGAAATAAATTTCACCTCAAGAAACCGAAAAACCAAAAACTGAAACCCAAAAACCAAAGACAAAAACCCACGCGAGAAGCAGAAAATCAGAGAAAGAAATGTGACAGCAGAAAGCGCTGCCCACATACTTATACACATATTTATGGATATGTCTTAGCCACAAACTTGACCAACAAGCCAGCTGATGGCCAACTGATTTGGCAATAAATAAGGTAACAGAAACAGAAACAGAAGAAGAAATTACAACAACCAGCCAGCCAGCCAGACTAACAAGCCAGCCACTAACGTATTGCACAATTAAAGCACCGACACCGACACGGACACAAGGTTTCATAATAAAATATTGCCAATTTACAATGGCCAACCCAACTCCAACTCCACCCCCCCTGGCAAGAGATACCCATGCCCCGCCCTGTGTAATCGGTTCTTGAGAGACATCGAAACCAAACTCGTTTTCCTCGCTTTGGTCAACACAGAACCGCAGCAGCCGAAAAAAAACAACAAAAATAAAATAAAAACTTTTTCAAGAAACCAACCAGAGAGAACGTCCAACTAACAAGAAACCAACCTACAACGACAGTCAGCAGACTAAATTTATACATTTCTTTTAAATTATTTATAATGCATTTATATTACTAACTGCATAGACGCGAATCACTTGCCAAAAATAAGCAGTAGCCTGTCTCTTGGCCCAATAGAAATGTCTCAACCGGGTAGTGAACCTCTATCACCGTTTTTCTTTTCTTTTCCTCAAAATAACAATATATAAGTCTCGAGTGCCAGCCGCCAATATACTAGATATATATAATATCAAATATATTTAGCTGAAATGCATTTATATCCCTTTTTCCTATATTATATATATCTTTTTGGCAAGGCTATTATGCTGGGCGCTGCTGTATGTAAGACACCAAAGCCAAATGGCATGTAAAATGGTGAAGGGGATTTCCAGGGGGCAAAGGGGGTTTGTAAATTGTGTGCTGAGCAAACACGAAACGTGCCGCGTTTAAAAATAAAACGTAAATCTCGTGCGGCGCAGCGCGTGCGCAACATGTTGCCACAGACAGAGACACACACAGACACACATACACTTGCAACAGGCAGTAGGTCGCTGGCAACATGTTGCCAAAGTAATTGCCTTTAACTTTACTTAAAAAAAATATTTATTGAAATTTTTCATAGCATTACTAGTTGAGTATTTAATATTTATACAGATTTTTAATTAAAATTTTTTTGAATTATTTTCTTAATTCTTAAACTGAGAAAGAGAATCGTTCAAGTACTTTTAAAAAAATCCTAGAAATAGGTCGACTTTTTTGCTGGTGCATACACGCAGAGACACTCTAAAAAATGTATAGACAATCAAGAGACACCTGCGGCCACACTCGAAGAGACGGACCGCTCACCTGGCCGCTTTTAACTGGTTTGCGGCGGTTTTTGTTTGTCTCGGTCTGAGTTTCAGCCGCCGTCTCAGTCTCAGTCTCAACTAGCGGCGTCGCCGCCAACACTCTCGCATATCATTATGGCCCGTGTGCACTGGCACTGGTATTATTATTACGCGCACTTGTTCCAAAGCTCTGCTTGCCGTTTCTTTACTACGCCTAGGTATAAAAACTAGAGGGGGAAAATGGGTGAACAAAAATTAAATATCAGCTGTTAGCTGGAAAAGCATGCCACAAGCAAGCAAACAAGCTGGGACACTACGAGAAAAAAAGAGGAAAAACAAACATAGACAGTTAGGAGTGGGTTTCCAGTTGGCTTTGTGCATTGTCATGATTTTTTAACCTTTTTTTTTATTCCAACCACTTGCCATATGTTGGCCCACTATTATTTGCACATTTTGCTTTTGCGGTGCAGCAACTGCAATCGATAGCAGGGAATCCCTTAAACTCTATCGTCTATCTATAGTAGAAACAATTCACTGGAAAATATTAATTACAATTCTAAGGAAAATTCAGATTATGATGCACGGTTAATTACTTTGTTTTTTTCTATGTTATATACACAGGGCGTATGCGCAATATTCAGTTTATTTGCCTGATTTCTGTTTTTGAAAGAGTTTCCTTTCGCTTTATTGGCCTTTTTTTAAACCTAACTTTTAATTTAGCATTTTTGTGTTTTTACTCGCCAATTAAATGCGAAATTTAAGAGTTCCAGATATTATTTCTTATTTTTTTCTGTGTGAGTGTTTGCTGACGTTTTTAATGGTTTGCCATTTTTTTCTGCTTCTTTTCGGTTTTTGTTTTTTAATAAAAATTTAAATGCAATTTTATTATGCTGATAAGTAGCGAGGGGATTTTTGTATCTGAAATCTGTCTGCAATTTGCATACAAACAAAACGGGGTTTTCTACCCATCCCCCCCCGTGCAACTGCCCGATCTGCCGATTTCCATTAACTTCAAAATCGTGTGAACAGCGGCAACTATTATGTGCTGTAATTAAGTCCATATTGTTGGCAGCAAAGGAAAAAACAAAAAGTCGAGTAAACGAAAATGGGGGAAAAAAAACCTAAAATAAAATTGTAATCGATTGGGCGACTTGCATAACAACGCGTGTGGGTTAAACCGACAGCCGACAGGCAAAACCCCCTTTCAAAGGCGCGACGCCCCTGACTGGCGATGTAACCTTCTTGCCCTGTGCAGTGCATGCGAAATCGCCATTTTCGGTGTGGCTTTGGGCACGGGTCTTGCTCTCGGGTCCGTTCTCGGGATCGGTATCCAGTGGGCACGGGTGCCATCGCCACCACGGGCACATTTTGATGGCCATTTTAGAGGCGAAAATAAAAGGCCGCGCGCCACGCATGCGCAATGCGAAAAACGCGCGCGAAACGCGAGCAAAACGCGTGCGGGCTTTTTAAATTGATTTCGGATCAGTCCAAATGTGTCCCCCTCGCTTTTTTTATTTAGCTTATTTTTTTTTTTTAGAAACTAAAAGCGTAAAATGCGCCAACACATAAATAATTAATTAATGTGTAGTGTGTGTCGGGGCAGCAAAACAAGACCAGAAAATGAAAGCGGCCAAGGGGCAAGACGAACTGGGAATGCTCTACAAATAAAACATTATTAAATTCATAGTAAAACTATCGAGCCATATGGTTTTTTGTATACATCATATAAAATGTATATAAAATACAACTCATTCATTTCTTGCTGTGTACTTCGTTTTACAACTCAAAGGAAATGAGCTTTGATCGTCAACAATTTAAATAAATTTGTTTATTATCTAAAAGAGGCATAATAATAAGAAAGTTACCGCTGCTCCGAAAAGGTGGAGATGCGAGGAGAAAGAAAGTAGGATCATGATCATCCATTCATCCACCGACCCCCCTTTGAGATGCACTCCTCGAGATCCCAAAGATCTCTGATATCCAAGATTCGAGATCTGCGGCAACCGAAAACGAATGCCGATCTGTTGCCACTTTGCTTACGATATCTTTTTCTTTGCTTGTTTTTCGTTTATTTTTAGCCAAAAGCTGGTTTCGAGCCCGACACCGCCTCGCTGCGAGAGAAAGTTGTGCTGAATCCGGCCGAGAAATGGCGCATCTTAAAGAATATCTCGATCATCTCGATCGCCTTTATGGTGCAATTTACAGCGTTTCAGGTGAGAGACAACAACAAAAAACTATTCCGAAATTGTTAACCAAAAGAGTTAAAAAAAAAAAGTAGTTTTTAAATGTTGAAATTATGAAATTAACTAACCGAACTTACCAATTTTAGGGCACGGCCAATCTGCAATCCTCGATCAATGCTAAGGATGGACTGGGCACAGTATCGCTCAGTGCGATCTATGCCGCCTTGGTGGTATCCTGCATCTTCCTGCCCACACTGATCATCCGCAAGCTGACGGTCAAATGGACCCTCGTCTGCAGTATGCTCTGCTATGCCCCCTACATCGCCTTCCAGTTATTCCCGCGATTCTACACCCTGGTGCCAGCCGGTATCCTTGTCGGTATGGGTGCCGCTCCTATGTGGGCGTCCAAGGCTACCTATTTGACGCAGGTTGGACAAGTGTATGCCAAGATTACGGAACAGGCTGTCGACGCTATCATTGTGCGGTTCTTCGGCTTCTTCTTCCTGGCCTGGCAATCCGCTGAGCTCTGGGGCAATCTCATCTCCAGCTTGGGTGAGTTAAGACTGATATTAGGAACAGTAAAACCAAAAATTCAGCATTTCCCTCTTGAGAATTCCTTTCAAAGATGGTCATAAAAATTCCAAAAAGTCACGGGCAATCTTATCAAATCATAAAACTAAAAAGATTGCTATGGCTCTTAAATTAATAAAGCATTAGCTTTTGATTTTCCCAGCTACTATAAAGATCATAAAACATTTGAGATCGATTACAGGGCATTTTTGAATTAATCTTCGATTCCTGGAAGTCTAGAACATTTTGATTAGTCTAGAAAACAGAACAAATGGTTTTCCTGCTTGATATTGGTTAGTTGCAACATATTCAAATGTGATTTCCTGACATCCTTTACAGTCCTGTCCAGCGGAGCCCATGGTGGCAGCAGCAGCTCGAACACAACGATCAGCGATGAGGATTTGCAGTTCTGCGGTGCCAACTTCTGCACCACTGGTAGCAGTGGTCACGGCAACCTGGAGCGACCGCCAGAGGATGAGATCTTCGAGATCTCAATGATCTATCTGTCGTGCATTGTGGCCGCCGTCTGCATCATTGCCTTCTTCCTGGATCCCCTTAAGCGTTATGGCGAGAAACGCAAGGGATCAAATTCCGCAGCCGAATTGTCGGGACTTCAGCTGCTATCCGCCACTTTCCGTCAAATGAAGAAACCGAATCTACAGCTCCTGATCCCAATTACCGTTTTCATTGGCATGGAGCAGGCATTTATTGGTGCCGATTTCACTCAGGCCTATGTCGCCTGTGCTCTGGGTGTGAACAAGATCGGTTTCGTGATGATCTGTTTCGGCGTTGTGAATGCCCTGTGCTCGATTCTCTTCGGATCGGTGATGAAGTATATCGGCCGTCTGCCCATTATTGTTTTGGGTGCGGTCGTACACTTCACATTGATTACCGTAGAGCTATTCTGGCGTCCAAATCCCGATAATCCAATCATCTTCTACGCGATGTCCGGCCTGTGGGGCGTGGGCGATGCCGTGTGGCAAACGCAGATCAACGGACTGTACGGTCTGCTGTTCCGCAGGAACAAGGAGGCAGCCTTCTCCAACTACCGTTTGTGGGAGTCTGCCGGTTTTGTGATCGCCTACGCCTATGCCACAACGCTTTGCACGCAGATGAAGCTCTACATCCTGCTGGCGGTGCTCACGCTCGGCTGCATTGGCTACGTGATCGTCGAGATCCTGTACAGGAAGAAGGTGAGTCCAGTTGTTTTGACAAATCAATCGGGAATACCTAATGCGGATGGTACAAAGAGCTTTTATTTAAATTTCTTATTGCCTATAACTATTAAATGAAATTTTGTTTTATCCATTGCCTAAAAGCAGGCAACTATTTTTGAAATTTTAGACTTACTCGTTAATTATTCAATTACGAAGTGGTTTTATGTAAAAGGCATTGAACGCACCAAAAACATACCTAATTTTGCGTTTTCCTTTGCAGCAACGCAAGGTTAAGAAGCAGGAGAGGCTGGAGGCCGCGGAGAAGGAGAAGGAGGCCGCCGCTGCCGCAGCAGCTGCCGCTCTGGCCGCCGCCGAGGCTGGTCCTGATGGCGTCGAGGAGACCGACGATGAGCTGGACGATCTCGAGGAGGACATTGTGGTCACGCGCCTGTAAATGTTTTATTCTCCCCCACAAGTATAACCCCCAAAAAACTCCACAAGTCCCTCACACACCCCACATTCCATCAAGTTATCGATAGAAAGAGAGATACACTATCAGGAGCGTTATCGATGCAAACACAAAAAAAGACAACAAGATTTAAAAAAGCAAAAAAAAAAAAAAGAAAAATTGCTTCGATAAAATGAAACTAGCATATCTATCGATAGACAAAGCGCGCTCCGTGATCGATAAACAGTTACCAACTGGCGCCTATTGAAGGCACCGCAACAACACGATGCATACTTCTGAAGTTGTAGTTTTGTAATAGAACATTTGTACCCCTCACCCCCGAAAAACCAGCTCCTGCGCGAGAGAAACCATTTAGCTCAAAGTCCAACCGAGTTTGGCTTAACTTTAGTTTGTACATACAGAGAAGAGATCGAAAAGGGCGAAATGCTAATTAGTTGCAAAAAGGCAGTGAGGAAACCCGCGGAAATGCAAAACTTTTGTGTGTTAGTCTAGGTGTAAGCACACTCGTACTTAGTCAATATGCACGCCTTATTTTCAAATATACATTTATCGGTACTTACTTATCGATGAAAAATATCTATATATTTGATCGATTTATAATGGTAATTTTCCAATTTGCATTTGATAAAGAGAAACGCTCACTTTTTGCAATTCGAAATTCAACCAAAATGTATTATCGATAAATCAGTATTTGCAATTAAAGCGTTCGTAAGAAACTTTGTATCACACAAACATAAAAAAAAAACAAAACGCACACACCTATACACACGAGGCATACACACTGCAGCAGTGTGTGTGCTTACGATGCCTAACAAATTGTTATTTTATTTTAAAGCGTATTTTAACTATAGTGTGTATCCCTAAACGAAAATTGTAATACACCCAATTCCCTTTTTGTAAATTGAGTTTTTTGTATTTTGAGAAAAAGAAAAGAAACGTGATAATCAACACACACACGAAACACAAAAACAGTCACAACAAAAAAAAAAAAAAACACAAACAATTATATAAAAATAGTCAAATTTGTAAAGATAAAGAAAAATACTGGCCTTATTGAGAGATATATGTATATATTTTTGAAAAATATATACGATGGAGACCAGTGCAAAAATGAAAACACAAATAAAACGAAAAGCAATTAATTAATATATAAACAAAATATCTTTAAACAAAAAAAAGCAAAAAATCTAGTAGGCAAAATGTTATATACACATTTTTTGCTCAGTATTATGTTTTAAACTAAATTTAAGCGAGTTATTGTTTCCTGTTTATATTTTTTTTCGTAAACCCTATTTTTACGATGTTTTGTTTTTCGATTTCGAGTTTGATTTTTTCTTCTTCTTCAACAAACTCCCTGCGATGGCAATTAAGATTAAAGAAAAATCTAATGATACATCATAAACACATCTACAAAACGATATATAAATATATATAATTTTTTCGTTTTATTTAAACGTTTTACTTAAATATTAATGAAAAAATACACACACACACAACAAATTTGTGAGAAAAAAAACTACAATACATATTTTTCTTTTTTTTTTTGCTTAGCCTGTTAAGTAGTTCATTATATTATGTAAAATATATAAAATAAATAAATGAATATAAATCTATTTGAAATGAAATCTTTTACTGGTGTAAAGTTAACGTGGTTTGGTAATCAGCATGTCACGCGTTAGTTAGTTAAGGCTTTCCTAACGGGCGAAACGTAAGCGCGGCTAATTTTCTATTTTTCCTATTTATATTGGAGTAGCACATGGCCAAGTTGGTTTAACAGACCATATGATACCCAGTACACTTTATACTTAATGCAGTCTCGACAATGGGATGACTCTTTGATCTTTTTATAATGATATATTTACGTTGAATCAAATAAAACTGAAAATAATTATTTATATTATTAATTTAAATACATTCTTTTACTAAAAAAAAACTCAACACAATATTCAGAAATGACATTAAATTTAGTTATAAATTATTATTCGATTTGTAATTTTAGGCTACGAGTACTGAACTTTGAAATGCCAGTTATCTTAGACTAGATGGAAGACTGCTCGTCCTTAAAGGACAATGGCCTCGTCCTCCTGGTACTGCTTGTTCTTACGCCGCCTGTTCGACTTGATCTTGCTAAGCACGCTGTACGCCTGTTGGATCTCAATGAAACGCTGGTGAGCCTGGGCCCTCAAGCCATCATCTTTGACCTTGTCAGGATGGTACTCCTTGGAAAGCTTTCTGTACGCAGCTGTAATCTCCGCCTGCGAGGCTGTGGCACTTACGCCCAATACCTTGTACGAATTTCGTTCGCCATCCACGTCCATACTCTCGAACACCTCCTTCCACGTCTCATACCACCCGTGGTGTTGAGCATAGTTATAGGTGTCTTGTAAGGCCTGTTTAAGATCCGTCCACCAGGCAGAGGCCAAGAAATTATGGATGGCCTCATGGATGGGCACCTCTCCGCCGTCCTCGTCCGAAATGGTGCCATTAAAGTACAGAAAGCTGCCCCAAAAGGCGCAATAGATGATCACAGCGGTGGTCAGCTTGAAGGTTCTTTCGCCGGGACTTCCTCGTCGCGGTGGAGTCCTTCGCCACTGCTTGGACAGGCCATCAAAGGTCAATGCTGATACGAGGCCAGTGAATAGCAGGGAATAGGTCTCATCATATATGAGGTACCTAGCCGGATAAGCTAGATATGCGGCCAAAAGGCACTGCCACCACACGCCCTGCTCCCGTCCAATGTTGCCCACCAGCCAAACGCCCAGGGACACAAAGAACGGTATCGCCCAGTGCAGGAAGCTCAGATCGATGCCACCGACCAGCGTCTCCGGAATGGCCATGGCACACACCTGTCCGAATAGATGTCCAATCATCACTTGACCGACGAATCTTTTGGATGAATATGGTGGCTTCTGATACGCCTGCAGCTTGGCCACGAAGGTCTTGACGAAAACCGGATCCTCATTGGCATCCCGAACATATTCAGGAATCAGAAACAGCTCGCCCATCCATCCGATGCCCAAGTAACCGCCCAAGGTGCACCACCAAATGAAGGCGTGGCGATCACGATGCAGATACAGATGATGCAATCCAAAGATGCCTCCAAAAAGCCAACAAAGATAGGCCACCACCACTGATTTCTGAGGCGGCAGGGCGTTCACCTCCTTACTTTTACCCTTTCCTTGAACCGGGATGCCATTGGCCTTCACCTTCGAAGATGATCCGCTGGGTGGATCGTTGATCTTAGCCTTTCCGGAGGCGGGTAACATCGTCTGCTTGGTGCCCATGGTCCTTCAACGGGATTACTACAATAAACGAGGTAAGAAATTAATTAGAAATTCAGTTTTTTTTTCATTTCAAATAAAATTGCTTCCAAGCCAACACCTTCAAAATACAAAATCAACTTAAGAACTGTATCCGAAAGGTACAAAATATATTATACTTTGATTCAGTAATATAATTCGGATATTTAAATATAATAATATGGATATTTTTACAGAAATATCAATTTGAACAAGCAAACAAAACATTTAATGACTAAAACAAAAATAAAAAACTGTAGGCTATAAAAGATACCTGCAGTAAATGCTCTCTGCACCCAAATTTAAAAAAAATATATTTAGAAATTCCTAAATATATATTATATATTGAATATACTACGTTCATAAATATCACTTTTTGTGCCACTTCTGGCAGGAGACACTTACCCACACTCAATTGACCTCAATTTCTTGTGAAATTGTCGCTGCGCATGCGCAACTTCTTGGCCACGACTGTATGAAAGAATGGGCGAAAGAGGCGAAGAAAGACGCGGCGAAGAACTTTCTCTTTTCACAAATTCTACACACGCAGCACCAACAACAACAAAAACAAAAAACTGAACCACAAAAACAAAAATATTTAAAACACGTTAACTGATGCGTACACTATTGAAAATAGGTTCTTGTTCTTTTTTCACTAAAATAATAATTAAATCGACTGAAATTACAGCCGAGCTTAAAAATCTGTTGTTTTGCGGGCCGGATTGAAAAATTGAATAAAAAATACGAACTTGTTGCTCGGCTTTGATTCAAGTGTGCCCAAAGTAAGGAATTCGAAAAAATACCGATGATACACCGATGAGTGTACTAAAAACTTGTTATTTTAGTTCGCTAGTAGACAAGTTTAATTTTTATAAAATATATTTGAACATAAAACTATTTTAGTACATCAAAAACAGGTCAACAAATCAATTAAATAAATATGATATCTCCATATCCTATTTAATATGAAATCAAAACGATTGTTCGATGGCCTTAGGAGCTAGCCACTCATTGGTCATAATATTTTAAATGAACTTTATATATAATAACTAATACGGAATAAAAACATCATTATAATTATTAATTTTATATCCAAAGACAAACTCATATAAAAATGAAATATTTTTATTGATTTTCGGTTTTTGTGTGTTCGCTTAATATGGCATACTTGCATATTTTGCATGGCTTACATGTATAAAAAGAATGTTTTTTTTTTTTTTTTTGATAATTTGACACATTATTTGAGCTTTTATAATAATCTTAGCCTATTATTAAAGTAAAAAATAAAAATCAAATTTATTGGGATAACACCAACTAAAATTGTTATGAGAAATTGTTGATGGCAGACGTGTTATGAAACTCTATTTGGAGATTTTAAAACATACATTTGAGTGTTTTAATGTTTTGTGACAAGTATTAGATGTATAAAATTAATATTCAGAGTTCAAAACTTTAGAAATCTCGTGAAAATCATCACACCTGCATACTGTGTGTTGTAATACTTTCTTTTAGGATTAATAAATATATGAGACAAAAAAAACACATATCCGTTTAAGAGCTAACTTTCCGGGACCAGCTCCGGACTGAAGATGAGTGTAGTTGCTGGTTTTGAACGGTCGCCACTTAATTGTTCTTCTTTTTGGGCTTCTTGGGATTGCGCGATCGTGACTTGGCCTTGCAGAGCGGACAAATAGGCGCATTCCGGTGGATCTGCTGGTGGCATGACAGACAGGACTTCATCGGCGGCGGCTGCTGGCGGAGATTCACATTGAAGTCGGACCGGAACGAGGGATGATGGCCGATGCCGATGGACGGCGATTGTTGGAGTCGATTACTTGGCGGTGGCGGCGGTGGTGGTGCTGAGAAATCGCCCTTGCCCAGACGGACTGCAGCAGCGGCTGCAGCAGCGGCAGCAGCAGCACTGCCCGCTCCTGGCGGTGCAGGCGGCATAAAGGCGTGTCCTGGATTCCCGCCGCCCGCTCCTCCTCCGCCAACGGATCCACCGCCACCGCCTGCTCCGCCACCACCACCGACGCCTCCCTGGCCACCGGCTGATGGCAAGGCGGTCACCGTGGCTTCCGGCATCAAGGGATGACGGGCATGCGGACGAGCCAGCGATGATGTCTGGTTAACCGAGGCTGCCGCCGCCGCAGCTGCAGCTGCTGCTGCCGCTGATTGGGCGGCAACCTTCAGGAAGTTCGTCTGGAAGCGATCCTTTGAAATGGGACTGCCTTCTTCCTCATGGAGATCCCTCAGGGGACTGAGTCCAAGATAGTCCCGTCGCATATGATCGATCTGGTACTTAAGCGCCAAGTACTCTTCGTACACCCGGTTGGCCATGTCGAAGGAGCGCGTTTGGTTCTCCTTCGTCTGTTTGATGATGTTTTCCATGTCGTTGATGTCCGCATGGATCTGTCGCAGCTCCTCCACATGCGACATCTTTTCCTCAAGCAGGTGCTCCATCTCCTTGCGGTATTCCTCCAAACACTTCTCTTCGTCATCGCTCAGCTTCACTTCCTTGATGATGCGCACCTTGAGCTTTTCCAGAGACAGGGTCTTATCCCGTATGTCCTTAATGGCCTCTAATTTAGCGTAGTAGTGTCGCTCATTCGAGCTAGAGATCTCGCTGGTGGCCATTGTTGATCCAATACGCTCCGTGTGGTATTTTTGGGATAGAAAAATATGTGTATTTTCGGAAGACTCTCCCCTGGGCTAATGTTTATTTTGCACTTTTTCACTAGTCTGATGGAGTTCAGTTCGGGCTCTTTCACTGATCCTTAAGTATCTGATATAGTGAATTATATTTGAGGCACTAATCCTGACCAATTAACCACTTTTAATTGATTTTTTCCTTATTTATATGATTTTTTCGCTGTTAGTCCCAGTTCCATTTTTTTCTAGTATACAATGCAGTGCTACCAGACCGTTAAACAGATTTAATCCTTATTTGTATTTTGGCGATTGTATCGATTATTTTGGAACTCACCTATCGCTTAAAGTTATTTTGCGATTATTTTTTTTATTTTTGTTATAATTTTCAAGACGTTATAAAAAAAGGTTTAAACGCTGAATATTAACGTACATACAATTAATATTTGCCATAAAAAATACAAGACTCTAATTTACTTGTTTTGAAATATCTAAGATGATTTACACAAATCCATAACTTGCCGCAACAATTTCATATAATTATTTTAGTTGGTATTGTGCAATTAAATATGATTATTATTTTTACTATTACCATAGGCTAAAATCAATGCTTAAAATAAAATTAAATGAAAATAAATGAAAGGACAGTTCTTTTTATCCAAATAAGCCATGTAAAAGATCTATGCAAAGTGAGCCTTATTAAGCGAACAAATGAAAACTGAAAATCAATAAAATATTTTCTTTTTAAAATTAGCTTATTTGTTTAGATATAAAACGAAATGGTTAATATTAATGTAGAAAGCCTTAACTTAAAATCAACAATTTCTCATAATAATTTTAGTTGCAAATATGCAAATTTGTGCAAATGAATTGGATTATTATTTTCTACTATTACTAGATCAATTTATAAGCTCAAATATTGTTTTAAATTAAATTAATATAAACACAGCCAACCAAACATTCTTTTTATCAATGAAAGCCATGTAAAATATCTATACAAGGTATGACATATTAAGCTTATAAATGATATCCGAAAATTAATGAACGTTTTTCTTTTTTAAATTAGCGTATTTGTTTAGATTCGGAACAAAATGGTTAATATTAATGTAGCTTTGTTATTAAATATAAAATGTTGATTAATAAACTAAAAATAAATGTTTTATTGGTTATATTGGTGCAGCACAGCTGTGTGCAGTACAGCTGTGTAAAAGGAATGCAACGTGCAAAACTCGAAATTCCTAATTTACTATAAACTCATAACTACATTATGTTGATGAATTTTAAATATATACGTAAATAAAAGTGTATTAAACGTAAAGTTTAACTTTACTTTAAAATAATTATTTTTTCAGTATTATTTGTAATTTAGTAAACGGTCACACTGAACCCGCCCCGTTATTTATCGCTGCAGTTTTATTTCTCGGTCGGGCAGATCGTTCGGGTCGGATCGGAAAGGCCGATTTGGAGTTGAAATAAAGAAAAACGGGGTTTGGGATAAAAAGAATCTTGTTCTGGTCATGATTTTTTTGCAACCCGCGAATTGTCAACTTGTGTTGAGCACTTAGTTGTTGTCCGCGCCTTACAAACAACACCAGTAACGATCGTGAAAGAGAGGGATAGTTGCAAACAATGCGTACGTGCGCATGTGTATGCGAATGTGTGTGAGAGACATTCCGCAAGTGATTCATTCCGCAAAAAAATAAATAAATAAAGCAAGCGGTGCACAAACTAAGGCGAAATGTTTGTGGAAATGTGTCAACAAGTTGCGGCCGTAAAATATAAGTGCAATATCAACATGTGTGGGAAATCGCTTTAAATTGTGTAAAAACTCTACTTTTCGCCCACCACTCTTTCTCTCTTTCCATCTCTGTCCCTCTTTGTTTTCGTTTTTTTTCTTGTTGTTCTGTGTGTGTGTTGTGAATAAATAACAAAGTTAAGTTAAGTTAACCACGCATAAATTGCATACGAAATTTTGGACAAGGAAAAAGCGAAAGGTAAAAGCGATATTTTATGGTTTTTTGAATGCCGATTTTGATAGACTCTCTTTTTCTGCGGGCCTCAATTTTTCTATGGTTTTGTTACTCTCAAAAGCGTTCTAATCAATCCGTGCATATATACGGGTCGTACGTCTTTGTTGTTGTGTTGATTCTTCTGACACAGATGTGTTCAAAATATTAGCTACATTTAAGAATAAATTCCTTTAATACCTAAAGTATAAAATAAAATTAAAAGTTTTATCAATTTTAATAATATTTCTTTTGATTTAAGCTTGTTTTTTAGTTTGTCTTTCAATATATTTATAATGAGCAGAACGGTATTATTTATGTTTCCGTTTTTCCATTTAATGTATAATTTTATAAAAATATTATAATATATAACTAAACCAACTACTAATATTTTGAACGCAGTTGTGCTTATCATAATATTTGGCATACATACATACATGTGTATTTATTTCGCTTCTAACTGCTTATCGCTTCCATTTGGCTATAGTGTGTGTGAGGGAGACAGGCGTCACCTGTAGCTTCCATTCACTATCTCCTCAGTCTCTGTCCACCGATCGCTGCCATCTCTTTTGACACATTTTGTTGCTGTTCTTAATTGTTTGGCAATTAAGTCAATTATAAACATATTAAGACAGCCGACACACATTCACCGATTTGGTTTAGTTTTCCCTTTAACTTTCGCAGACAAGCCAATAATCGATTAATCCATGGAAAAAGCCCACGAATTGGGACAAACAAATAAAAACTCTCCAAAGATTTCTAAGTACATATATAGTAATAAATAAAACAAATATTTCAACAGTTTTTTGGGATATGTTCATATGCATAAAAAACACTATGAATTGATAGTTATTTGACATTCTTGAGTTCTTAATATTCCGTAAATATGTAGATTTATGAGCGTTTCTTATATTAACATTGTTACTGAAAAACAAAATGTACTAAAAAGCTAGGAAGCAACATCCATTTTTAATTTTCAAGTTAAAATTTTAGCACTTCTAGTGCTTTTCTAGTGAAAAACTTCATTTTCCTATATATTTTATAGTTTTTTGAAAAAAGATTACAAATGAAAAACCAACATGAGTTTCCTGACATTTAGGATTTCTCTATTAAACTGAAGATAGTTTGAAAAAAGGGGAATTAAAGATGCATAGAATACATAGCTTCACGTACTTCCCACCATAATGATAATCCAGGTAATCAAGTGTCTGAGCCTTTTTTCTTAGCCGTCTTACCCGTCTAACGATCGTTTGGAGGGTTCTTCTGTCTACGCGTCGTCTTGTTTTTCTGTGTGTAAATCAAATCACAAATCGATGGCAACTTACAGACGACAAAAAATGTTGTCAAGCAACTTGGAAATCGAGTCGCAAGTCGCGAGATCGCTTAACCCAACTCTGCCCCTCCGATTCCCCAGTTCTTCAGGCTTTGGTCTTATATAATTGGGGCCATGGAAGCGTTAAGTCGAGTGTGGAACTATCTGTGCCCATTTCCTCCAGTTTATTTTTTTTTTATTTTTGCACCATGAATACGATCCGGGAATGAGGGACGAACAGTTAACTCAGCTTATTTTTACTGTCGCAGTTCTTATCGCGCTTATAAACATAAACAAAAACAAAGCTCAAACGCAGTTCATGAATCACATATAAATAAATGTATCTATGGATGTGTATACACAGAGAAAATTATTATCAATAGAATTTCTAAATTAGTTTATCCTATGTATTCAATCGTATATCAATCGTAAATCCACATATTTTATATAAACTACATTTTTATATTCTATTTGGACAAGTTCATGTAAATGATAATAAATACTTGATTTGATGTATATTTCTCTCAGTGTACTATCGTATAGCCATTGCACTTGGTCCATGGAAACTGCTGTAATTAGCAAAATAACAATGCAACAAAAAGAGGAAAGCATAAAATAAGCAAAGGGAGAATGCAAGTGATTCATGCGAGTAAACGGCGATCCAATTGCAAATGCTCATGAATGCATCACTTTACTTGCATGCAAATACACAAATATGAATTAAATACTTCAGTTAATATTATGTACATTTAGACAAAGAAATTTAAATATATATTTTTGGCCATGCCAAATATTATCGTAACGGATACATGCCTTATTAGATGGTATAATTGCGTTGAATATTAGAGCAATGAACGACTGGGAAATACGATATTTAATATTCTCGTATATCAGCCATGGCTTAAATCAGCAGTCCAACGTGAATTTATGGTCGTTATCAAGAAATAACTTTTGAAATACCCAAAATAAATATTTGCTTTAGCTGCGCATCTATTCCTTAAAATAAATTCCAGTTAAATGTGTCATTATATTGTGTTCTAAAAATGTTGTATCAATAATTATTTTCTAATGTTTTTTTGCATTTTAATCTAGCTGTCACTTCATATTTTATAACATTAAGGACCAATAAATTTAAAAAATGATTCACAAAAAGCTCAATTGGAAAAATATGAAAAAGTTTTGCAGAATTCTATAGATGTTTTCCGAAGTTTAATTGATTTTTTTATATAGCTCGACATTAATGGAAAGCTGATAAGCTTTATAAATGAAGCTGTGAAAGAAAAATAATCTCGTGTCTATGGTAGCAGCCCGACCTCGTTGAAGGGGGATTTCTTGAAAGAATGAAATCAACATTTAAAAACAAAATGGATTGAATTTTAGTTTCGTTTTCCCAAAATCTCTTTTCTATTAGCAAATCAATCAAAATAAGTGCAATTTCCATTCAGTTTCATTGATAAAGCAAGAGTTTTTAATTAGAGTTTGGATTCTACCATATAAATCCGAGGGACTCCAGACGCCGGACATTTATGATCTATATGGGCACTCAGCTCTATACAATTATCATTGTTGGTTGGCTCGTCATTGTTATCGCTCTTTTTGCCCGACCACTAAAAATACGAACGATATCTGGACAAATGTATATACATATAAACGCATATATACATTTGTATATAGAGAGAGTTTTTCACTATATGAGCTATATGCACAAGGTACAATTCGTAACTATACTAAATGGTGACACATTTTTGTTATATCTTTGGGGACGATAAATGGAAATCAAATAGTTTCGAACTTATATTCCAGTTAGGTGGTTAAATACATACTAAGTAATAGATCAGTAGGTAAACTTGATAACATTTTGAAACAATACAAGACACTTGTCTCGCCTAAAGCTATGAAACGTACTGTAGTTAGTCCACATGGTCCCCGAATTGGGTAATTCATTGTGGATCCATGATTGTATGTGGCAAAACAATTGATTCACTTGGTCAGCACTCGGCTAATATACGAGTATATATTCCTTGTCGTGCCGAGAGCGTGAAATTTGAAATTCGATTAATCATCGAAGAGAAGACACGAACGGCGACGTAGTAGCAGTTCTAGCTAATATTCCCAGGAAAAGCAATATGTATGTAGTTCAATATAGTGGGTGAGTCATCCATCAAGTTCATTCATCCAACTTATCCGGCGCAAAATGCACAGAGACAATAACCACAACAATGGGCTCGTTTAAACTTTAAACGTTTATAAACAAAATCATCGAGGTTCAGGGAAGTGGACCATTTGAGTAGAACTTCGCATTTGAAGTGGGGCGACCACTTAAGCGACAACGACAGCAATTCCCGGACTGCCCCAGATGGTCCACTCTTTGCAATGCCATCCGATCCGATCCGATCGGATATGTTATGGTCTGCTCTGGTCTCTGGTCTGGTTCGAGAGTTGGACTCTGTCGAGAGTTGAAAAGTTCAGGGAACTGCAATGAAAACAATGGGAGGGCCCGAGAAATTAAGATCATCAATGGAGAAGTGATGTAAACAAGTCTCAAATGCCAGAGATCCTTCACTGGAAAAAACTATATAGCTTTAAAGTAGTTGAGTTACAAGGCTATATTATAGTAAACTCAAAATTATTGCATATTTAATAATATTTATTTTTAAGGCAACCAAAAAACACGACTCTGGCAATCGAAAAGTTGCTGATAATTGCAATCTAGCCAGCTTGGATAATGTTTATTCAAATCTCCATTTCATTCCAACTGAATAAATAATCGACTGAAAACGCTGACTTTGAAAGCGGAAAGTGAAAGCGCATCTTTGAGTGGGGGAAAAATTAATGATGTCCGATCGAAGAGCCGAAATGTTGATCGAACGAGAAGAAATGCAAACACGTGTCTTTAATTTCCGCATACTCAGGGCTTTTCAAATTTATATTTGCCTCGTTGGCACTCATTATGTGATCACTTAAAAATTGCAATTACTTAAGCATAATCTAAGCGTAAATTATGAATCTAAATAAATTATGAGCTAATTGGCTTGCCCTGTCTAATGGGAGTACTCCAGACGTCTTCGGGCCAAAGCCAATCGGATGAGTCTGCGCTGCTCCAGTTCCTGCAGTTGCTGCTGGACGAGCAGGCGATGCAGAAGCTCCACTTTGGCATATTCCTGAGCCTTCTGTTGCATCCTCTTTTGCTGTTCCTCCACAAAGTCATCCATGGTCCTTGAGATCGCACAGGGCTTCATGGCTTCTTCTGTCTGTGTTTTATGACTCCAGCAGTTGATCTGAATAAACTGCAGAAGGAGATGGATAAGATGGCTCCAGAAAGTCAATGAAGATTGATAGAATTCGGCTAGGCTGCTGGACATGTTGATAGCTCGGTAAACGGTTGACAAGTGGTAAGGTTTGAAAAAGAATGTAGGGTTTATATACCATTAAAAAAGGGCGAGCCACTACCTAAAAGAATGAAGGGTCTTTTGGGTTATTACCTTTTCTAGATTTTAGTCCTCGGACAGCAGGTAAACATGCAAAGTATGCATGATTTAGGGATAACACCCCATGGGGAAAAAGCCCTAAATATACGCTCGTAATCATACGATTTTCTATCTACCTGTATCAAAAACCCTTTGTTACCTAATAATTAATTCAAAAGTCGATGGTTAACGTAGGTTTAACCTAGTTATCATAAACGATGTGCCATATGGTAATCTGAGGAAACTTTATAACTTAAAAAAGCATCTTGTACACCGTAACTAATCCTTTTTTCATTTTCTATCTTTTAGATTCCGTCATGGAGCAGGCTCGCCCTGTACCCGCTCCTCGTCGCCTCTATCCAGAGCTACGTCCCGCTAACTACGAAAATATTGAAATCCGAGCACCAAATAGTGGAGCCAATAATATCAACAATAATAACATCAAGAAGCTCAACATAAATGCAGAGAATCTTCACGGAAATTGTGCGGAGAAGAAGTTGCCTTCAAGTGGGCAAAACAAGTTGATTCTGCAGGAGAATAATTCCGATAGTCAGCAACCGATTTACGGCCCCGATGCCAATGAGAATGTCCAAGAGCCTGTGTATGCGATACCCAGACCAGCTCCGCGCCAGCGAATGCCGCAAACAGAGGACCAAGAGGATCAGGATCCAGATCACGAGGACGAGGTGCCACTGAGGATTCTGCGAGCGGCCCCACAAGTGCCGCCCAAGCCACTTAACATCCTGCCCGACCAGCGAAATTCAATCTGCAGCGAGGTGTCCACCACCAGTGTCCAGACCCGTGGAAAAACTGACGAGGATCGAGAGGGATCGCGGTACGCATCCAACGTTTCGCTGGACTGCAGCGAGAGCTCTCACAGCGGCAAGTTCAAGTCGCAGTCACCCGGGTACGTAGACGCCATCGATTCATCCATACCGCAATCGCAATCGCAATCCCCATCGCCGGATCCAAACGGGGACGATCCGAAGGCAGGTTCTTCCGCAGAACAGTCCTCCAGCAGCCAAGAAGACGATGATGACAAGTAAACTTTGACCACAATTTCTACCCATTGTTTTGCACTTCCCATAGTTTTTTGATGGGTTTCCCTTTTGTTTTTTGGTTTTAAATGGAAACTAACTATACACGGATTGAATACTGGATGTTCTCACTTTGATTATTGTTAAATATAAAAGTTTTATGCATATGCCGATAGCACAATTTTATAAGTTCGTGTAGTCAAAAACATACACTTATGATTTCTCTTTTTGAAACAAAAGTTGAATTGGTTTCGGTTATGGTTTTAATAACTTATCAGCACACACAAGTTAATTACATTTTGCAAATAAATAATTAATAATCACATTTTTATACGGGCATTGCTATAAAGAACAAGGTTTTTATCTGGGTTTTTAAACCTTCTTTTAAGCGATAGTCTTTTCAAGAATTTATCACGGTTTTTGTTATTTTTTCGGAATATTCGTTTGTTATATATATATTGTAAAATATTTCCCTTTTTCTGATAAACATTCAGCTGTCTGCCCAATCATTTACATATCATTTAGATTGTGACTATTTTTAGAACCAGCATCAACCCCTAATTTGGTAACATCTTCTTTGATTTATGTACTTCCCATCGGAACTGTAGCATGTGCCCATCCGTTCCCTATTATTTCTGGGTATTTGTTTCGGAGTTCACTTCCGCCGCCCTCTCCATCGGTAAATCAAGTTGTGGCCGTCAAGGGATCCGTCCTTATAAATAGCCCGGCGTCTGTTCAAGATCAATGACAAGCTGGATTGTTTAAAAATAGTCGAGCGGAAAATCTTAAGATCAATTTTCACACTCCACTAGGAGTTCTGTGTGGCTGAGAATTGTTTTTAAGATCAATCGTTGGCAGTTCGCGGTCGAGGCAGGAACTGTCTAAGAAAATATTAAAGTACTATACGGTTTAAAGACGGGAAACATTGTTAAATGATTTTTTTAATTCCTTATTATTCTTAAAACATATATTATATTCAATTTTTACTGGTTTTGGTTCTTCATTTTTTAACTAACGATAAGAAAGAAGCGGAATATATCTAATAGGTCTTTGGGTATATAAATTTTTGATGTTTTTGAAAATATTTTGAATATTTTATGGGTTGTCTGGTTTTTTTTTTTTGTTGATTCATGAACCCTAAATATTTTGTGAACTAACAATTTTAGATTGATGTTATTTTTTGGTCTTACCAACTAACATCCAAGGGAGTGGGATACCTTTCAACGACCAAAGCTAACATAACTAATCCGGAAACTTTTCCCAATTCTTTAGCAATCTACTGCGATCCTTAGGCACTACTTCCAAGCTTCTAGGAGAAGCCATCGGCGAGCGGATCACCTTCAAGGCCAAGGGAGCTAAGAAACGCCTAGATAGAAACCTGAAGAGCTCTACTGAGGCAATCAGTAACATGGGCGCGGATGCTGGTCGGAGTTTGAAGCACGCCGGCAAAAAATTCGGCTCGAATTTCAGCCTAGGCAGAAACAAGGAAAAGGACGAAGTCGGCGGAAAGACAGGAGGATCGGGAGAAATGGATCTGGATAGACGACAAACAATGCCCAACACAGAGGTCTTCAGTTCGATCCAGTTTTCGAGTCCACTTAACCGAAACGGAGGTCTTTCGGATCTGCGTGAGAACGATGCGAAGTTGCAAAAGGAGGAGGAACTGCGAAAGGAGCAGGAGGACGACGGATGCTACGAGGTGCCCAAAACGCAGGGCAAGCCGCCCAGCTACGACGAGGCGCTGCGGTCACGCCCCTCGCCCAGTGCCTCACCGATGGCCAGGAATCTCGCCCAGGAGGCCTCCCAGCTGGTTCAGTTGCGCAATCAGCGGCAACTCAGCACTAGCTCCTCGAACAGTGAAGATTCGCCTCGCCTGCCCATGCCAGCTTTTCCACCACCCCGCCTTTCCCAGCAGCCGGAGCAGTTCCGTCTGGATGCACTGCAGCCGCCGGTGCGCCAAAAGCGACGAAAGAACTACGAACACATCGAGCTGCGGCGTCCACCCGTCGACTCCGCTCAGCTGGAGGAACTCAACAGGGCAGCAGCGGCTGCAGAGCGTGAGGAATCCCTACTGATCTCTACTAAGAATGCTGAGGCGGAAGCCAAGACACCCAAACCAGAACGCAGCGATTCTTGGGAGTTTTACGGTGAAGACGAGTCCGAGGAGGAGGAGGAACAGGAGGACAACTCTTCACCGGAACCGGTTTACGCCAACCAGGAGGCCACCTACGGCAAGCTTTTTGAAATGGCCACCGCGGGAAGTAGTCGGAGCAACGTGCTGACACCAAACCAGGTGGCGGAACAACAGCAGCAGCTGGCATGCATCACCGAGGATGCAGAGTTGGATGGCGGCGAAGGAGCGGTGGGCGGTGTTCCACTGCCGCAGGCTCTGATCGAGGAATTCGACCCGCTTTGCAGTAAGAGTTCCACTTTGGCCAGGTCCAACAAAAGCAACGAGCTGCTGTTGCTCGAGCATCTGCTCGAGGAAGACACTTATGGCACGGTGAAGGCGGAGCAGGACGATGTGAGCATGTGCACTTCCGAAGAGGAGCCCACGACGAGTGGCGCCACGACAACAAAGCCCCAACAGCCGCAGATAGTGCATCAGAATGCCCATCTCCTCAGCGACAGCATGGAGAACATGTTGGATTCCGACCAGGAGCGGATCAGGGACGAGGAGCGAGTAAAGCCCTATCTCAGTCGAATGCCGGATTCGACGAACAAAGGAGGGCCAGTCGACTTGGCCAGTGCCTCGAGGAATCGCACCAATTGGTTTGTGCCAGATAAGGCGGGAGGATCGGATGCATCATCGTCCAGTGCCGCCAAAACCCTGTCGCCCATCGAAGGCGACAGTCCACCAACTTACTTGGAAGCCATTGGTGGCAACAAGGATGCCGCCAACAGTCAAGAGAATCGCTCCACCATTGGCTCCCGCTTCCGTCAAACTATGAACGCCATTTCTAATGTAAAACTACGCATGGATGCAATGAAGCGAAAGGCCAGCTTCCGGGGAGCCAATCAACGGCAGTCAGACGTCAGGGTGGCCCTGCAAATGGTGCCCAGACCGAGTCTATCGCCCCTACTAGTCCGCTACGAAGGTCCACTGGTACGTTTCCCATCCGGTGTCGTGGAGGACATACTCAAGGAGATGCAGAACCGCAAGGCCATACTCAGGGAGCGTCAGTTTCAGACGTTCCTCGACCAGGAGATGAAGACGCCCAGGGAGGTGATACCCCTGGACACGATCACCACACTGCAATGTGTGAGCAACAGTCGCGTCACGGACACGGCCACCCATTTCTATTGCTTTGAGATCACCACATCACAGCCAAAGAATGGAAATGGAGCTAGCGATACTATGTCATCGAATCCCAATCTCCTGATGACCAGCAATTCATCGGGTAATGTAAAGCAGCAGCGGGTATCGCACCTCTACGGTGTGGGCAAGGAGTCGGAGCGTGGCGTCTGGATGGCAAAGATTCTCGAGAGCTTGACCAACAGCCTGCCTGTGAAGTACACCTGTCACTATTATCGTGCTGGTTGGTGTTACCTTAAGGTCAGTAGATATTTTAACTTGTGTCATGTAGAATTTTAACTGAATCGATCCTTCTCCCGCAGAACTCAATCACCTCGGAATGGAGTGGCACTTGGTTAGTACTTCGCAAGAACCAGCGTCGTCTGATCTTCGTGAGCGAGGCCAATGGCAATGTGGAGAAGATGGACCTACGCAAAGCCCGCTGTATTGGTGAGGGATCCTTGCGATAAGCCTAGTCGTTCCAGTTTTAATCCTTAACCTTAACATTAAACAGTGCTAAAGGAGAGTGACGAATCCATTGACAATCTACACGTGGAGAGCGGTCCCATGCTAATGATCGACTGTCCGCCGTATGCGGTCTATATGATAATGAGTTCCGCCCGAGAGACGAAGATCTGGCGACATATCATACGAGAAGTGGCCCACAACAATGGTTTCTCGCTGGGCGATCAGCAGCTAACGCGCTATGATGTGCCCGTAATTGTGGATAAATGCATTAACTTTGTGTACATCCACGGATCCATGTCGGAGGGTATATATCGCAAGTCCGGTTCGGAGAACTCTATGCACAAACTGATGAGCGCCTTCCGCGCAGACGCCTTCAATGTTGAGATCACTCGTAATGAGTACAACGAGCACGACGTGGCCAATGTCCTAAAGCGCTTTATGCGGGATTTACCCGAACGATTGCTGGGCAAGCTCACGGACAGCTTTGTTTTTGTCACGGAACTGGCGGTGGCCACTGAAAAGATTCCCATCTACCGGGAACTACTTGGAAGACTCTCAGCTATCGAGCGCGAAACTCTGCGTCGGATTGTTGGTCACCTGGTGTTTATCAGCTCCCAGCAGGCCAAGAACAAGATGAGTGTCCAAAACCTGACCATGATCTGGGGTCCCACGTTGCTTGCTAAGAAGGTGAATTTTTGGTAGATAAGGAATTAATTATAAAAGTAATGTCATACTAATGTTTATTTACAGAGCGATGAGTTAATCTACTCGCAAAAGGAGGCTGATGTGCTTAGCGATCTGATTGTCCTCTACAAGAATCTATTCCCCTGCAGTGCAGATGAAATAGTAAGTAAACCGAAAAGTCAATTTATACCTCTGATACCTAATGATATGTCCTATTTAATTTAGAAACGGGAGCAGGCCATGCTGGCATGTCTGCAGAAGTATTACGCGGCCGCCGAAACTCTTAAGGATGCGGTGAAGCAATCTGGGGATATAAAGATCTGGATCAGTCTGAATCCTAATCCTGACAACAAAACAGAGGTATGAATCGTTAAATCGTGTTTAATTTCACCTATTTTATCATTTATCATTTAAAGGAGAAGACGCAAGTTAATGCCACCATTTCGCCGACTAAGACTGCCTACGAGTTATGTCGCGAGTACTCTGTCAAGATGCAGCTGCCCACCCACCAGTTGACACTGTACGAGGTGATCCTTAACGACAGCCTGGAACGTCCGCTGCACCACGACACCAAGGTGTTTGATGTGATTCTGAATTGGTCCTATTGGCCGGAGGAGGATCGCAAACATAATTACCTAGTGGTGCGACCAATTGAGATGCTGCGCGAGATCCAGAGAGCTGTAAAGAATCTGGCCACCGTAACACCCGGCAAGGAGCTGCGATTCGCAGATTCACGAACGAAAACCTTCAAAACCCTGCAGTGCGAGCTGCGGGACGGAAAGATTGTGGTGTCCAAAAAGGACAAGAACGACAAGACGACAATTGTGCGGGAGGTCTTCCTACAGAGCAGCACGGCGTATTTGGGCTGCGAACGCAAGCGGGACTTTCCTTGGAGTTGGGCCATCACATTTGTGGAGCGCACGCAGGCGCAGATCATGAGGTAAATAACACAAATAGGTCATAATTATAATGTATAAATAAATAATCGAATACCTTACAGATCGCGCGATGCTCCGTTTATTGGCCACGTCCTGGCGGGCAGCGAATGGGTCGACCGAACCATCTGGTACTCCAGCATCTGGTATAGCTTGTACAGGGACAACATCCTGCCGCCCGCGGAGATCATCATCAAGTAAATGTAGGTCTTCTCGCAGCTGCCAAACATAGCTTTTAACGCTGTCTTGTGCATTTTTCTGTAGATATTCTGAATTTATTTGCAATAACTAGGGAATATAAACATTTAGAGATATTTTTATGAAACTTTTCGATAGTTTTTCCAATATTTCGAATAGGCTAGGCAACAATTATTTTTTTTTACACATTTTCTGTAAATAATCATGATCACTCAGCAACCAAATTGTACATAAGTTAAGCGAAATTTATTGTGTATAATTAATTATATGCCATTTGTCTTCAGCATAGGTTATTTTTTGAAATATCTAGGGTCTTACTAGACATTTCGAGCTAACTAGTAATTAGGCACGGCCACGCAGAACATCAAATCTTAGCTTAGTTAATGATTTCGTAATATATTTAATGTTATTTTACACGTATCCGTTTCAAATGGTTTTGCATTTAGGTATTCTTTCTTTACATTTAAACCAATTCATTAGACGACGCAGGGTTTAATAGAAAAAATCACATTTTTATTTAAATATTTCAATATAAACTATCAAATTCTCTTATCCATCAACTGGCCAAAATATTAATAACTTGTAAATGACGAACAGCTTCAGGGTTTTGCTTTATTTGTAGAGCAACAGCCATATAACAAATATAAACCGAACTTAAACTTTAAAACCAATTAACAAATAAAAACCAAGACTAAACTTCTTTCAAAAATAACAAATGGAAAACCCGACTTCAAAAATAGACAGATGCAAAAAGAAACATTAAGTTAAAATAAATAAATTTAAATTAAAAATATTGTTATGACCTCGCAGTCATTTTTATTTATTCCCATGTGGGAAATAATTAATTTATATACAACCAAAATTATGCAACAATTAAAAGGTTGGTAGCACTCTGTAGCTTAAGACCCAAAGCATAATTGTGGGCATAATGTAGAAACATTTCCTTGAGGATCCTCGCACATAGATGGCGCTTTACGCAAAATTTTTTTAATTTGGTAGCGACCTACTGTGATTTCTGTTCACCTGGTACTTTACTCACAAGATCAATTTTAAAAAATTAACTCGACTGAAAAATTGGCAGTGATATTAAAAAAGTACCAGGCAAACAGAAAAGGTAGCAGGCGTATGATGGGCTCCAAAGTTTATTTAAACTGAGCCCTCTTATTGGTCGACAAATGGCACCCTGGATTATTTGCAGTTAGTAGCTAAAAACATAAACAAGAGATGAGCAACCAAGTTGTTTTCGGTGACGTCTCACGAGTTTAGCACGAAAATCACGAAATAATATTAAGGTCCCATGTAATTTCTTCTATCGTTTCGAAAAACAGTGCTCACGTGACCATCCCTAATTGGAGCTCATAAATTTAGCGATTTCCACCTACTACTCGATTCTGTTCGCCTGTTATTTTAAAGGCATGAGCTAGCCGAAATGCGTGGAAATTTTGATCAGAAAAATAAATTTTTCTCAGTCAAATTGGTCACTTTGGGAGTTCAGATACCAGGCGAACAGAAACTGCAGCAAGCAGCTACTGTTTTCTGTGAGCTTTGTTTTTTTTCAAGATGGCTGCCTTTTCAAGATGGTTGCCATTGCAGACCAAAACATAGACAAGAGATGAGTTACCACGTTGTTTTCTGTGTCGTGTCACGACTTTACAACGACAGGCACGAAATAATATTTAAGTCCCATGTAATTTATTCGGTCGTGTCGAAAAACAGTACTCATATGGCCTTCCCTAAGTGAAGCTCATAAATTCCAAGATGGCTGCTTTTTCAAGATGGTTGCCATTGCAGACCAAAACATAAACAAGAGATGAGCAACCACGTTGTTTTCGGTGACGTCTCACGAGTTTAGCACGAAAATCACGAAATAATATTAAGGTCTCATGTAATTTCTTCGATCGTGTCGAAAAACAGTGCTCACGTGGCCATCGCTAATTGGAGCTCATAAATTTAGCGATTTCCACCTACTACTCGATTCTGTTCGCCTGGTATTTTAATGGCATGAGCTAGCCAAAATGCGTTGAAATTTGATCAGAAAAATAAATTTTTCTCAGTCAAATTGGTAATTTTGAGAGTTCAGATACCAGGCGAACAGAAACGGCAGCAAGCAGCTACTGTTTTCTGGGAGCCTGTGTTTTATTTTTCAAGATGGCCGCCTTTTTAAGATGGTTGCCCTTGTCACTGGATGGAAACCGTTAGTTTGCAGGCTAAAACATAAACAAGAGATGAGCAACCACGTTGTTTTTAGTGTCGTCTCACGAGTTTAGCACGATAATCACGAAATAATATTAAGGTCCCATGTAATTTCTTCTATCGTTTCGAAAAACAGTGCTCACGTGACCATCCCTAATTGGAGCTCATAAATTTAGCGATTTCCACCTACTACTCGATTCTGTTCGCCTGTTATTTTAAAGGCATGAGCTAGCCGAAATGCGTTGAAATTTTGATCAGAAAAATAAATTTTTTCTCAGTCAAATCGGTCATTTTGGCAGTTCAGATACCAGGCGAACAGAAACTGCAGCAAGCAGCTACTGTTTTCTGTGAGCTTTGTTTTTTTTCAAGATGGCTGCCTTTTCAAGATGGTTGCCATTGCAGACCAAAACATAAACAAAAGATGAGCAACCACGTTGTTTACTGTATCGTCTCACGAGTTCAGCACGAAAGGCATGAAAAAACAATTAAATCCTATGTATCTCATTCGATAGTGTCGAATACCACTGCTCACATGGCCATCCCTAAATGTCACTCATGTCTGGATGGAAACCGTTAGTCTGAAGCCCAAAACATAAACAAGAGATGAGCAACCACGTTGTTTTCGGTGACGTCTCACGAGTTTAGCACGAAAAGCACGAAATAATATTAAGGTCCCATGTAATTTCTTCGATCGTGTCGAAAAACAGTGCTCACGTGGCCATCCCTAATTGGAGCTCATAAATTTAGCTATTTCCACCTACTACTCGATTCTGTTCGCCTGGTATTTTAAAGGCATGAGCTAGCCGAAATGCGTTGAAATTTGATCAGAAAAATAAATTTTTCTCAGTCAAATTGGTAATTTTGAGAGTTCAGATACCAGGCGAACAGAAACGGCAGCAAGCAGCTACTGTTTTCTGGGAGCCTGTGTTTTATTTTTCAAGATGGTCGCCTTTTTAAGATGGTTGCCCTTGTCACTGGATGGAAACCGTTAGTTTGCAGGCTAAAACATAAACAAGAGATGAGCAACCACGTTGTTTTTAGTGTCGTCTCACGAGTTTAGCACGATAATCACGAAATAATATTAAGGTCCCATGTAATTTATTCAATCGTGTCGAAAAACAATGCTCACGTGGCCATCCCTAATTGGAGCTCATAAATTTAGCGATTTCCACCTACTACTCGATTCTGTTCGCCTGGTATTTTAAAGGCATCAGCTAGCCAAAATGCGTTGAAATTTTGATCAGAAAATAATTTTTTCTCAGTCAAATCGGTCATTTTGGCAGTTCAGATACCAGGCGAACAGAAACCGCAGCAAGCAGCTACTGTTTTCTGGGAGCTTGTGATTTTTTTCAAGATGGCCGACTTTTCAAGATGGTTGCCGTTGTCACTGGATGGAAACCGTTAGTTTGCAGGCTAAGACATAAACAAGAGATGAGCAACCACGTTGTTTACTGTGTCGAATCACGAGTTAAGCACGAAAGGCACGAAATAACATTTAATTTCTATGTATTTCATACTTTCGTGCCTAAAAATAGTACATACGTGCATACTTCTAAGATTACGTTAACTAAACTAATTAGCAATTCCAAATTTTTAATAAAAACGCAAATACACCTTTTGAATATCACTAAAATTTTGCAAACTGCATTTTATTTATGTTTTTTGTAGCTGCTTCATCATGTTGCCTTTTTGTAAACTTACTTTTTCGAGAACATTCTTTTATTTTTACTTGAACTTCACATACATAGTCAATTTTGTTGTTTGTTGTACAATACATAAAAAGAAATATGCGTGTTATGTATCTATAGTATATATATATACGGTTGTTATTATGTAAATATATAGTCGTATAGGGTGTTAAGTATATTGATCAAGTAAACATCATGATTTGACTAATTTTACTGTGTTCCTTGGGTTAGAGTGAGATGGGGGACGAAAGCAGTGTATTGAAAGAGAAGGCGAGTGTGAGGGTCTACTAATCTAAGCCTTTTCGGATAGGGGGATGATGACAACAAATTTCGGACATACTCTTAATCGGTATCAATATTTTTTACACTAACTAAATATACAAATCAACAAACTCCAAAAATAGGACCTCAACGTGGTTAGGATCGGCACTCAAAGATCGGGACTATATATACATCGAGTGGGGCCGCGAGAGCAAGTGCGAGAGAGAGCAGGACATACATAGTTTTTCTTTTATTTTAACGTATTTTCTTCCTTTAACTGCTGCGACATTTGAAGTGCTGGCAAAAGTCTAACCTAGTCGTTATATATTTAGCATATGATAGTTTATGATATATATATAGATATATATATATATATACGTATATATATATATAACTAGAGGGCTCTAGGCCGCTCAAACTATTAACAAGTTTTCTAACGTTAGTTCAAAAAAAATCATAATTTGTAATGAATTAATATTAATTAATAAGAAAATTATACAATCGTTACAATTCGTGATTGGGGCCGCTGGACAGGATTGGGTGTTGATGGCGTATACGTGATTGGTGCCAGTGAGTGTGGAGATGTTTTTGGTTGGATGGATGAGTGGGCGCTTTTCCAAAACGGATAAGTTGTAAAATGCTTAGACGTATAAATAGGCTCTCCTAATGTTAGTATGTAATAATCACATTGACTGCCGTCATTGCCTGTCGGCTGCTTGCCCTCTGAGCCCTCCTTAGTGTCTGCGGAGGACTACATATGATGCCACTGCGTCACCGCCACATTGGTGTTGTCGTTCAGACGCGCAATCTCCTCATGTAGGCCATGACCTAGCCACTGAAGGAATATCCTACTGTAGGCAGCCTGGCAGAGTTTCAGCGGGTTACCCCGCCTAAGTCCCTGATCCGTCTCTCCGTACTCGTCCAGATATGGCGGCTGCACGAAGCATCCCTTGCCGCGGCCCAGATACACCACTTGACAGTCGCGAATGCGTAGGAAGATTCCAATCTCTGCACCACAGGCATGAGCGTGATGGGTGCACGCACCCACTGACATTTTGCCTAGCTCTGGCTGACAGCAGTAAGACTGACCGCATAAGATCGAGCCGCAGATCAGACACATGGTTGGAGTCTTCATCTCCTCGCGCTCATTGTTTGGACAGAAGATATCCGAGACGCTGTTAATAAGATCGCTGTAGTCTTCAAAAAGTGGCTTCAAACGCGGCAACGGGCGAAGACAGGGTTCAAGCTGCATGTTTTCATACCCTACATTTAGGCTCTGCATCTCTACTTCGCGATCAATGTGGGGATGCGAGGCAAATGAGTGCATCATTGTGGCGTACACAGTTTCCATGTCAAAGTAAACGCCCAGCATGGGATCCAGGCCCAAGTACTGGCACATCAGCTCGAATCGATCTGGCTGATCTGTGGGGAACGTGTCCGGAAAATCGATATCCGTGAGACAGCGATAAAACAGGCAGGCGCAGCGCAGGAATGAACTCATTTGACGCTGCACGTAGTCGAGGAGAAGTGCCAAATGTTGAAACTCGCAGGGTATCACCACCGTCTGTTCTTGCCGCTGATCCACATCATCCTTCTGTTCCTCCGCCAACTGCTGCTGCTTCCTCCTTTGCATCACTCTGGCAGGGATGTTATAGCGGCGATAGAAAGCCACCATGTTGTCCCGAATTCTTGACGGCAACTGATCCACATAAGTCAATTGTGTGAGTTCAGCATGTTCAGTATTATCCACATCAAAGTAGAGAACTGCCTTTGTCATGTGGGCCAAGAACATGGTCTGCAGAATGTAAAAATCAAACATGCTGCCGCAGGGTATGATAGTTTGAGAGGCTGTAAAATAAAGAAAAAGGCGGATAAAATACCGGAGATAAAATAATGCATTTCACACTCACGATTTCCGAGGGTCATTAGATTGAGCACTCCAAACTGGAACGGTACCAGCATGCGGAAGCAGTCCCATTCGAGAACACTGGATCCCTTCTGATTAAAGATTTTGTCCAGCAGTTGGGCAGCGAACTCTGCCTGGAAACGTTCCGACGGCGGCAATGGGATTTCGCCGAGTTCCAAGTTCCAAGGCGAACTCAAGAATTTCGAGCAAGCTCTCACCAAATTGATGGCACAGCTTTGGTGACGCATTGTCAGCTCGGCCTTTAGTGGCTTCTGAATTTTAAACAGATAGATCTCCAGTGCCTGCAGAGTGTAGCTGCATGTATCCCACAGCATGGGCACTGACTCGGTAGTATCTAGGTCCTGTACAGTGACGTCTCTGGTAATGTCTTTGAGATGTGAGTTCTGACTCTGCGTGGCGTTCAGCAGGGCCTTGTTTAAGAAGGCCATAACATCGCTGTAGTTTGAATGCAGCTTGGGAGGGTCGTGGATCAGTTGCACGCTTCGCTCGAACTGCGCAATGTCCCCGACAACTCCAGACTTGTGCAGGATGTTAGACACACTCAGAAACTGGCACATTTCATCTTCTTTAATGGAGCCAAGTTCACCGGCCAGTGTGCGCATAATCTCCACGAAGCTGTCCAATGGCAGATAGCTATCTGTTGGAGCAGGAGCCGGTGAGAATACGGGCAACGCTTCGGTCACCGGCAGCACGGTGTTACTTAGGGTCCGGCAATACGGACAGTGGAACTCTACGTTGTGCGCCTGACTTAGAGCCACGCGATTGCGGTGCGGACGACGCAGCTCCTTCGACTCCTCGTTGGTATAGTACTCCTGCCAGCAGCTATAGTGCATTACATGACCGCAGCAACTCATGTGCAGAGCGCTCTTGCTTCTATGCATATTAAATGTGGTGAAAATCACCCGCGAGGTCTGGACAAAGGCAGAGCTGACCAACGGCGGACCGTTCCGGCTAATGGTGCAGTTCTCGAAGCACAGGATGCACTTGAAATTGGCATCACTCCCCTGGTACAATTTGCGTTCCGGACCCAAGCAGGCCACGTTTGGCTTGAGAGCCACTGCACCCTGCTCGTCCTCGGCCGGAATATCTTCCCATTCCATACCAGTGGCTGCCGAATCCTCTCGCGCCTCCTTTTCACTGGCCGCAAAACTTTCGGCATTGTTCTTCATAAACGATTTCTGAGCACTTTGCATCTGGGCCATGATCTTTGCCCGACGTTCGGCTGCCAAACGTGCGCGAGCCTCTTTCTCCTGTCGTGCCTGCTCCTCGGAGCTCAGGGGCTGTTCCTCTTCGACGCCCTGCTGGGTGTCACTTGATCCAGCTCCGCCTTCACTCGGCGCTTGCTTTGCCTGAAGCTCTTTGTACCGCTTGATGGTCCACAGCACAAAGTCACGATGAGCCTCCAACTTTTTGGGTTGTATAAGGAAAACCGATTAGCTAATTGTTTGCCAGGTTTTTGGGACAAGTCTTACCCTGGCACAACGGGCGAGCTCTTCCAACTTCTCCAGAATTCCGTACTTCTGGGAACGTTCGTAGAAGCTCAAGAATGGATACCGCTCGCTCAGCTCCTCCTGGATGGCGAAACCCAAAAGGTGAAGGATCTGCGGGGTAAAGAAATTCAAAAAATAAGGCACTATGTTATATGTCATATAAAAGTAATATGATTACCTTCTGAAGATGTGACTCAGTGAAGGAGCGACTGCGCGAATCCAGTGCCCGATCCATAACCTGGGTGCAGATGCTAAGAAAGACGTTGCACTGCAGGATGTTGGCCATCGATCTGAAAGAGACAAATATACATAAGTACATATATAGACCAATTTTCGGTAGAACTTACGTAAAGGCTGGTGTTAGTTGCGGCAGCATCGGGGGCGGGCAGCAAACGAGTTCCTTCTTGGCCTTGCGCCGTTCCCGCTGCAGTTCCTCGGCCTTGGACTTGTCCTCCTTGGTGTAGTGATAGAAGTAAACGTTGAACTCCTCTAACAAATGCTCCTTCAGCTCGTACACTCCCTTGCTGTCTACGCCTACGGGCTTTTTAAACACGGCCACAGTGTTAATGACGTCCTCAAAGATGTTGTCGCTATTTCCGCTATTGCCATCCGGCAATGCACGACTCAACTCCGAGTGCGAGTAGGATTTGGTGCACAACAGCTGAATGATTTCCTTACGCAAGCGATCCTCTTCCGTCACCATCGAAACGCCCGGCATCCAGCGTTCACCGATTATAACGATCAACAGTTCCAGGAATTCATCAATCATCGAAAGCTGCCGCATGAAATCATCGTCCAAGAGTTTCTCTGCCAATACGGTTTCATAGTTTGCCTGGGCCCAAGCTATCAGATTAAACTTGTTTAACACATGGATTAGGAATTCGTTGCTTTCCATCAACGAGGCTCCAATCTGTAGGCAGACTATATCCCTGTCCAGCATCTCCACGCGGCAACGCACATTCCGGTAGAAGTAAAGCTGGTGCAGTAGGGAGTAACCATTTCGGCGCCACATGCCTGCGGTCACCTGTGCGATCATAGCATGAGTGCACAGAACCGGTTCAATGATCTCTCTGGGCGTCAGCTTCATGCTTAGCTCATCCGATTCACTTTGCAGGCTGTCGTAGGTCATATTATGGGTTCCCAAATGTAGATAGATGCCGGCATAGAATCGCGATAGAGGCAGATGGATGGACACTGGCTTCACTGATACATCGTATATCAGGCATTTGGCAACATGACCCGCCACACTCCTCACTTCCGTCTTATCAACGCCCACGATGAAACTGTTGCTTACCAACGCCCTCACCGTCATTTTGAAGAGCTTGAGCAACAGTTTCACATCAGTGGCCGCCCACTCGATCACCTGTGAAATGGTTGTAGCCAACTTTATGTGAAGATTGAAGGCGCACTCCCACTCCGGCTCGTAGTCCATGTGTTGTCCCGTTTGTCTGGTGATAGATTCCATGCCCTGCATCACGTTTAGCACACGCATCAAAGCACGGCAGCCTGTGAGAGGAAAAGCGATAAAATATTAAATTTGGATTCAGATGAAACAAGTTGAAAATGTCTACCTTCCAGAAAGCCGCTTCTCAGATCATTGCTAAGTACCTCCGGTTTAATGCTAAGCAAATACCGTAAATCATACAGGATGTAGTTGGCCCTCTTGAAGAAGGCCATGCTGGCGATGTTCTTGCTAAAGTGTAGCGTCTTGTTCTGTATGAACTTTTCGATAGCCACGTGGTAGAACGTGTGCAGCAATTTGTCGAAGATACCCTCATGGGCGATCAGGTGATGGGCGATGCTGGGCACCGTGAATAGTTGAACGCTGAGAGACACTATCGAAAAGGCGTGGTCATGATCGTCGCTGATAAAGTCCTCAACAATGGTGGCGTAACGACGAGAAAACACTTGAGCCAAGACCATTTTGTTGTCATACTCCATCAGCATGCCGGAAATGAGCAGGCGATGCCAGCAGGTTCGCGCTGTCTTCCACAGCTTTACGTCATACTCCAGGATGTGCCGGATGCAGAAGGGTTCTTGTTTGCGCTGCACCAGCTCGGAAAAGGTTTTTCGGAAGAGGTAATGGCGCACCAAGAACTCCTGGAACCAGCCGAGCAACTGTAGAGCAAACTGTTGACAGGCCACGGCCCCTATGTGCAGCACCGATGTCCTCAGAGACTGGTTATTGCGCACGGACGTTAGCAGGGGCGTCGGCGGTATCATCTGATTCTCGATAGCTTCCTTTAGGTCGTTGCACCCCTAAAAGTACCATCCCCAATTCAATTAATGAAATACAGATTTTTTAATATTTATAGCTACAAACCTTAAAGGTATCGCACTTGACTACCGCTCGCCCTTCGCGATCAATCGCTGCCACAATCTCCATGGCGTTCTTCTGCGGACATTTGGCGATCTTGGTCAGTGTTTGGATCACCTGATCGAATGTGTGCGACTCATCGTTGTAGAGCACGGTGCAGTATTGCGCTCCATCCACCTGCCCGTCCTTCACGTGTCCCTCCAGGCATTGCAGACTGGCGTTCGGCTCGATTTCCAAGTAGTTCACGCAGAAAGCGAGAATCGCTCCAAAGCAGATCTCCGCCCGCTCCAGTACCTCATCAGTTAGGATTTTGCTCTCTAATGGATTCTTGCGATTTGCCTAAAACGGAAAGCGGAAGTTATTATCATTTATTAAGAAGAATATAAAGTAAACCAAGCTGTACATATACGCTATCTTTACTATTATCAGTATTTTACTCTATTACTCATATATTTTGCGGCATGTTTTCTTCTTCTGAGTTATAAAATTTGTATTTTTCATTATCTGAAGTGTGTTACTAAGCGATTCAAGTACAGTAAATCTATGTATCATGAACTATGAATGTTGCTCTTGATACTGACCAGATGCAGCTGGCAATAGTGATCCTTCTTCCAGGCTTCGTCATCACCGCAATCGCAGCAGCCGCCGCCGCCAGAGGTGGACATCTTGTACTTGTGGAAGCGATGCGCCGACCGCTTGAAGCAATTGACGCAGAGCACGCAGGTGGGATCAACGCCGCACTCGCGGCAGCTGTAGGTGGGCTCCCCATTCTTAAATACCTTGCCACAGACGGTGGCCGTATTGCCCTCTAGCCGGAGCTTCTCCAGTGCGGATGTGGGATTATCGCCCAGTATGAATTCCACCACAACATCGATGATATCCTTCTTGGCCAGCGCCTCCTTGAACATACACTTGACTAGAAGAGACAATAAATTACGCCATTAGTTGAATACTAAACTAAAAATGCAATGACAATGGAATGCGTAATGCGGAATGTATGAAGAGCCTTGTCTGGGTGTGTGGTAGCGTCACGCTAATTCGCTCCAGACTTACGGGAGCCGCGATCCGAACTTTTCTTGCTCTCCTGTAGCTTCTTGATCTGTGGCACAATGTCCACTGGACGACGTAATAGAAGCCCAATGCGGAGATTCTCCATGTTTACATACCCACGGTTCCCAGTGTTATCGACGTGGTTAACTCCGCAGAAGGAACATTTACTTCCTGCACCAGTTCATTAGGAATTGGAATGGATTGGATGATTGAAATGGATTGGTTTGGTGGATGGATGAGTCATTGGGGGAGGATGAAGGATGACGATTAGTGCGGGATGGTTTGGATAAGTTAAACAGTGTTTTTTAATTCCATGGTTTCAAAGAAGCCACCAGCAAACCCATATATTCGTTCGCAAGTCTCACCAGGAAGATTAAATACATTTAATACTTACGAGTAAGCACATTGGTATCTGCAAGAATAAAGTAAATTTACAAAAATTAGCCAAAGTAGATAACAAATTTTAAAAATAAAAGAGCTGTTAGTGGATTTTATTGAGAATAAATGAACTTCACTAATGAAGATTATTAACAAAGCGACTGACTCAATAGCTAGGCAAATTGTCATCTTTGGTTGGCTTTATTGCTTTTTAAGGCCGTAAGTAATGCAATCGCGATCATAGCCGGACTAAAATATCATTTAAATGTTTAGAACAGGTCGGACCGCACCGCATGGAGATAATGATCGTGATCGTGATCATGATCGCTACTATATTATTGAGGGCGACCGCAAAAGAGAACCGGAGACGTAAAGAGAAGAGAAACCTTCGGTCTAAACGAGTTTTCGCAACCAGAAAACCTAAAACCCAAACCAAAACCATATGAAATCCAATGAATTCGGACACGAATTCAAATTCAAATTTAAATGCAAATACAAAACACAATTACAACAAATGCAGTTCAAGGTCGCCGCAATCGCTGTAAAAACTCTGCAACGCAGAATCGAAAAAATCGATAAGAAGGCGATAAGTTTTTTCATTTTAATCAATTATCAACGGATCTGACGTAGCTTCGATTCAGGGCTATCAGTAAAAAAAAATAAAAAATAAAACGAGACATATCTACTGCCTACAAAGTCTGCACTGCACTTATATATAGTAACGGAACGATAGGATAGAAAAGTCTAGGAGTGCATTCTATATATAAACTCTCTTCAAACTGTAAGTGTAAGAGAAATACTAACTTATTCAGATGATATATACACAATCCAGTAAACGGAAATTCGTTAAGATATAATAAATCCTCAGAAATTTTCTTTGTAAATATTACAACTAATATATAGGTATATATATATATATACAGGTATATATATAGGTGCCTATAGAAATGCATATAATACTGCGTGTGCGTCAGTTTACTGAGGCGTAATAGACTGGAACAAAGAAGGCGGCTGGAACAAAATATATAAAAGAAAGAAACAGAATCGAGCCGAACTGAAATGAACTGAACTGAAATGCACTAATCAAAAACTGAACGGAGCTGTCAAGAGGGTGAACGTGGAAAGGAGGCCACCTCATCGTTCCCGGCCTGAATCACAACGATTTATTTGGGTACAAGCCACATGCAGTTTTACTGTGATAATCGACAAAGAACCGATTACTCATCACCTGGATAAGAAATGGCCAGTATTCTGATCTTAAACTAAACAAAGAATGGAAATAAATGAGGGTCTACACAGATATCAAAAATATACCCCACTAAGTTAAGATATAAAATTCAATATAAACTAACTTTATAGTTATTAAACATCAATAAAGATTTGTATTGCAGGGTAAGAATGATCTCAATTAAACTCTTTAGATCAGACGTCATCGAAAGGTGATCGAATTCAAAATATATACAAAATTTAAACGGAATTGAACTTAATTACACATTTTTCATGCACACAAGCACAGGCACCATTAAAAATTGAAATTTTCGTACAAATAAATCCTGATAATTATGGGCTTCATCTTAAATTATTTGACATGAGCATGGAATTCAATTATGGCACCTACTGTATATTGCACATTTTTCAAAACCACAAAAGAAAATCAAACAATTCACAACAAGCTGTCGGAAATTTAAAGGCGCCCAAATGAAAATTTAAATACGAGCATTGAAAGAGCATCGAGAGCACCGGCGATCGTTATAAAGAGCATTTCTGTTTTCTGCAAGGGTAGGTAGGCGGGCGATCGACCTTATATAAATCACGATAAATATACGGACGACACCTACACCCCTGTAAAATATATAATGTATGCTGAAAATTGTGTCAGATGTGTTGCTTTTGCACAATGAAACGAAAGCGAAAACAGCAACAGAGATTTGCGCATGGCAAATACATATGAAGAAATACAAGGAAGAAGAATGATCTGAAATACCCTTTTAATGCGATGTATGGAACTGAATTAGTCAAGATTTGAGGAACTCACTAAAAAATATATAATATATGTATCAGTTTCGCAAGTTTAAATGACTTTCATTGGAAGGTGTAGATTGTTACGAAGTTAAGTAGTCAGAGATATTAACACCGGGAGAGATTGAGACGGCTATGCTGGCCTTTTCAAATATGCGAGTGCACCAGATAAACGCAAGTTGAATAAACTGCAACCAAATACATATGTTTTTCTTATATGAATATATATATATTTAACTCTCTGGCTTATCAGTCATCAGCCGAAGTCCGATGATTCGTCTTCAGTCTCTCTGCGGAATCTGTCCACCTCATCTTCGGGTTTCATCATTTGGCAAACAAGATTTTAATGTAGGGTTTTTGTCTACGACCAATTAGACAGCAGGTAAATATCAGCGGAAGCTATATATAGAAGCTCTATATAGCTATGGCAACCGCAACAACATCGGTAGCCATGACTTCCACATGTTTCGCAGCTGATAAGAAAATGGAGCCGAGAAAAGGGTAAGAGCTGGCCGATTAGGAAAATCGGTTAGTAAACATTGTTGGGGGGTACTAAAGAATAAATATATGAACCCGTATATAAGGTATTTATAAATCGATATAAAATATTGCAATCCTTTTGTGATTTTAGTAGATTATTTATATTTTAAAGATTACAAAATCATAAGTGCTTTTCCTTCAGAATTATTTTCTTTGTTGACAAAAAATATACTCGAAGTGGGTGAAGCTTCCTTAAGTTTCTTTGATAGGCAAACAAACAAAACGTTTTGGTTGACATTTTGTCGGGGTAGAAAATGATTTTCCCCTCCTATCTTACCGTTTGTGTATTTCCTATTAAATCAATATGTTATAAACAGAAACTCGACTCCAAATTAGTAATGTCACAAATGTTTTTCCTAGATTCACCCAATTTGTTTGTTTCAACAATCGCGTTTCGCCTTTAGCTTCGGGTAATGTGAACTTCTGGCGGAATGTGGTGCAAACGAGTTTGTTTACTTAATTTATTTGTTGCCAGGCCCGACCAGACCAGGCTTTTGGCTTTTGTTGAAACAACTTGCATACACTCTGGTATAAAGCATGGGGTTTCAGACCTTCAATGTTGCCATACAACAATTAATAATATTATTAAATTAAAATGACAAACAATATATCATAAAAAAATAATAATTATTTCGATTCTATAAAAATAAGTGCTAAAAAACGATCTTGCGATTTTAATAATTGACATTTTTCAGAGTGTACAATTTGTGAGTGTGCATAGTTGGCGAGACAGGTAGAAAATCGAGAAGGTGGACAGGTGGGCGATGGGTGGCGGCGGAGGGTGGTCGATGTTTAGAGCTGGCAAACTTGGAGAGCCAATTGAAAGGAAAACTTGGCGCAGCAAGGTACGGCGCAGTGCAAAAACAACAATTCGCGGAAATGTGAAATAGACAAAACGTGAGAACAACAACAAAATCAACAAAAGCGTGCAATTGTTCAATGGCAATAAACAAAAGACGAAAGCATAACGAAAATAACACTAAAACACACTACGAATAATGATAATTCAAGAGCGAGAGTTTTTAATAGGATTCGACCAACTTTTGACGCCCCATCGATTTGGCACTATATAATCATTATCAGCAATAGTGTGATTTTTCCATATTTATGTCATTTGAGTAGTGAGATACTTGTTTTTTTTTAGTTACTATTATGTTTCTGTATTCCCTTCATATGTTTTAAAATGTTATCAAAAGAAAACAAACAGCTGTTTTCCAAGCGCTATAGCAAACATTTGTATCTAAGTGTTTGCCTAGTTAGTTACTTTGTATATTACGATCTATTATGATTTCTAGATTAAGCAATCAAAATACACCTAATCTTATTTAATATCTTGTCAGATAGGAATGATCATAACAAGAAACATCTATTTTCTGAGTAGGCTTAGTTGGAAAAATGGTATAGGAACGTTTATCTCTATATAGCGAGTACTAATACTAGGACTTGGACTCACCTGTCTCCGCACCGCTTGTTTGATAAACAAAATACTTATGCGATTCGCGCTCGAAATATCCTATGAAATCGGATCGGGATAGTGTTCCCTCTTGGCGCTTGAGGCGCCACTCCTTGAGCGGCGAAGTTAACTCGACAGGGTGCGTCACAACGACGTCCTCCATGTCGTAGCGATCCATCGTTGCTCTCGCTCGCACTTGCACTGGCACGGACTCCTCTTGCTCTTGCTCGCCCCCTCTTTATTTTTTGTCTCTCCTGGTTGGATTGACAAAAACAAAATAATTGCAGCGAGTATGTGTGCGATGTGCCGTCTCTTTCTGGCCTGCGCGTGGGCGGCTTATTTTTGTGTCCTTGTCCTTGTTATTCCTGTGGTAGTTGCAATTGTTGTTTGTTTAATTGTTGTTGTTTTAGCCGTTCTTGATGCTTCATTAGTTGTTTATTTGCTTGCCTAAACTTTTTCTACTGATAACTATTAGAAAAGGAAACAAAAAAAAAAAAAAACGAGATATAGTTTGGACCAGAAACCCAACAAAATAAAATTTTGAATAACGAGAGCGAGCGCGGTTTCTCTTTTGCTTGCTGTTTCACGGTCGAATTTTCGATTTTCTTTCGGAGCTCTCACTACTTCTATTTCACACACACTTTCTCCTGAGAATTTATATTTAATACTGGATAAATATCCAGAACAAGCTGACAATCGTATGAAACAAAACGATGGCGCAGTTTGCAACTGTTGCTTTGTAATTTTTCCTGTGTATCCGCCATGTGTGATTGTTTTTGCATTTAGTTTTTTGGCAGCAAAACAAAAACAAAAAGAGAAAGAGAGCGCATGACAAAAAAAAAAAAAAAAAACAATAAACACACACACACACACACACACGAGCACTATTTTTGGTTTTATTTTTATAATAATCGTTTTATTATCTGCGCTTTTTTTTGTGCTGCTTTTGTGTGCCTGGCACTTCAAGAAATCGCTTTTCTTTTTCTTTATTTTTCACTTTCCGAAAAATCATACACACGCACACACACACACAGTGACTTATACTCGCTTTACTGCGTTTCGCTTTCGTTTTCTCAATTTCTTAACTATTTCACACGTACTTTACGATTTTTTTAATATGGCTCTCGGGGAATTCACTAATAATTTACACTTGTGTTGTTGTTTATATCTATCTATTTTTACTGGCAGAACGGAAATTCGTCTGCTATGCTATTTTACAAAATTTCGTAATGAAAGATTAGAGCAGTCAAAGGAGCGATAGCACTATCGATGGCTTCGATGGTCGATATCTTACGTGGACTATCGCGATAGTGCTTGGAAGAATACTGTCATCGAATTGGGTTTTTTTAATATTGTAGAAAACATATATGCGGAAAGTAACGTGAATTAATTTGATTTCTGTAAAATAATGTGGTTGGTACCTTAAAATATATATTTATTCAAACTATCGATGAACATCTTATCGATGTTTTGTTAGCTTAATTAAAAATACAGCAGGTCTATTTCGCGCAATCGGTATTTTCTACCATATGACTGCCAAAAAGTACGATTGCTATCGATTTTTCTGCTTGGTAGATGGTTGGTATCGATGGTGAGTGACTTTGCTAAAAAGAAATACAACTATGTGGTTTCAAACCTGGATAGAAATAGAGGGGATTTCGACCATTAGCCGTTAAAGAATATTTGAAATTTAAACTTAGTATTCGATAAATGGAAAAAACGAATTCTTCGTAAAATAATGCAGAACTTAAAGCAAGAAATGAAATTAAGATAATATAAAGGCCCCTAGCGTCCGAAAACATTTGACTATGAAAACATTTTATTCTATTTTATTTTGCATACACACAAAAATGTCTTTATTGTTTCGCTTTTTTGTTTTTAGTTGCTTTGGATCTCTTTGTTGGTATACTTGTGTCTGGTAGTTGGAAATACATAGTTCTGCTTGTTCTTTCGCTAAATCTATTTGGATTCGGTTTAGTTTCGGCTTGAATACTTTATGCTGAGATGTTGTCTTGAAACCAAATCACTTTGCTAAATACTGTCCAGTTTTGGTCTTTTTTTTAAAGTTGATGTGTTTTTTTTTTGGGGGATTAACTGAAAAATAGGTTTTTTCCTTCGATTCGTTTGTACTTTTTGGGAAATGAGTTGTATTTTGTTGTATTTGTTGTTAGCTTTGCGTTTACATTGTTTGGTTCCACGTAGTTAATGGTGTTTTCTTTTTCGCTTCGGTAGCTTGGAATACATTAAATTCTGCCTTAGCACAATTACATATATAGTTTTCCTTTAGTTTATTATAGAATTCTTGTTTTAAACATTTATAAATATGCATTTATCGTTTAGTTAAGTTTAACATTTATTTATTCTCGGGTCTGTTCTTTTTTTTTGGGCAATCTCTTTGTTTTTTTTTTCGTTTTGTTGGTTTAGTTAACTTGGGTTTTAAAGTGGCTTCGACCCCTCTTCGTGTACAACATTTAAAGCTTGACTATATTGTTTTGTTTTATCGGGATTTCTTAGTTTTAGTTGGGTTCCGGAAGTCGGGGGCCTTCTCAACGACCCCGCTACAATAAAATTTTGCTTATTGACGCAACATTTAACACCTAGGCTTTTGACAAGTTAAATCCCATTTCTTATGTATGGATTTAGCGTTTTTCTTCCTTTCCGTTAATGTTAATGGTAAAAAAATCTAAAAAAAAATGTTTAGCCATTTTTTTTGGTTCTCGCTAAAGCACACCTTTCCCCCCAAATATATATATATATATACATATACTATATATATATTTCAGATCCAATTTGATCGATATAGGGGGCTTTGCAAGCCTGGGACTTGTCTTTAGTGTGGCACAACAGCTTCTTTATCCACTCTCAATATATATTTAGATTAAAAATTAGGTTTTGTTGTTGGATGCTCTAGACACCTGGAATACCCTGTATCCACAGCAGTAAACGTCGAATGGATATGAAGTTTAAAGCTTTTGCACACCGAAAGTCGGGGATAGGTATAGGATTACGGTTTAGATTTCGATTCAGGATTAGGATTTGGATTCTTGGATCTATCTAAGCGATTTTATTGGAGTACAGGGTATTTTATAGTCGCCTACTCTCGACTATCACAAACATTCAAGGGGCAAAAAGCTGTGGGTTTCGGTTTCATTACCTTTTACTCAAACTACTTGCAAACTTGTTGGCTATTTAAAAGGTATTTCCCTCCAGCTCTTCTCTTTGGACATGAGTTATTTTTTTGTTTTTAATAAGTTTCGATCTTTTGTTTCGTTTGCGCTGCCATTTTCTCTCTTTTCCGTTTAAAATTTAATCGTTAATATATACAAAAAAAATAACGTTCAGTCAATTATAACTATATATGTATGTTTATACACATCGAAACGAACACGTAAAGAAACAACAATGAGGCCTAAACAAATTACATACAAATGACATACACATATCGCGCTGTATGGCTGTTTGGTTTGCCTTTAGCAATTAGGTTTATCCCCTACATTTGTATCCTTACGTCAAGGACATCGACATTTCACCGCCTCGTCAACAACCCCCTCGCACCATCATTTTGGTTAATTATTTAATACACATATGTTAATAATCAGTCGCATAAATGAATCACCTTGCTTTGGTTTTTTGTGTTTTCTTATTCGATTTATCATTCACACGCGATTCTCGCCGGCAAATCAGGCTATCCAAATCATATTAACCTAAAATTATATAGTCGAATCGCTCCGACTTTTCATATTTTCGATTGGTACTCGTGGTTTGGTTGAATTTCCTTTTGAATTGCCTTTTTGATTTGCTTTGTTGTGAAAAACCCTTAGCCACTCATAGCGACTGTTGCGGGATCAACGAGTACCGACTATAAAAATACCTATTAAAAGCGCAGTACTGACTTTGGCCTCTACACTGAGAACTATCCTTTTAGCTAATATGTGTTATTTTAATATAAAAACTCCTGAAATTATATGAACAACATTAAGCCTACATAAATCATTTTGATCCTAGCTCTTACTTTTTGAAAAAAGCAAATCTGTTACTAAAGTTTTTTAATTAATTTTCACCAACGGAAAATATGCTTGAACCAAATCATCATTAATTCGTTTATTATTGGAAACTTTGCTATTTTGATTCCTGATTTTTCTAAATATTATTATTTCATAATTTTCCAATTCAATGTTCTGTCAGTACTGGTCCTAATAAGCTTAACCCATAAATGCCATTGGAGAATCAACACTTTCACACAAACAGACCTCATTCTATTTTCACTTTCGTTTAAAAGTATCAGAAATAAATGGAAGTAACTAAAGAATTTAATTACATAAATATGAATTCTTTTAAAATTTGAAATGGGTTGAATCTGAATAAAATTAATATAGAAACGAAAATGCAAATTGAAATCAAAATGGAAAATTCCTGTCCTTGATTTTTATGAAGTTCCCTATTAAATATTTTCTGTTAAATTTAAAGATAAATAATAAAAGATGAAAGGATAAAACTGGATTGTAAAAACATAATATCTAGTTTTGAAAAATATATAAAAATAATATATAAAAATATAAAAAATCAAATTACCTTTTCTTTATAAATATAAACAAAATATAAAAGACATCCGCGAAGACTCCCGTTGAAAGTGAAAAAGAAGGATGGATCTGTCCGCCTGGGACAACATACACACACACACTGGACACACACAGGACGACTCCCAGATGGATTCCTCTAGTGCTGGAGAATGCGCGACTTTTGGGCTAGCACGGCCTCCGACTGGTGGAGCCGTCGCTTGCTGCTGTAGTTGCACAATTTGCCGGCGACCTTGCTTAGAGTGGTGGCCGTGGAGGAGGTGATTAGGTCTAGGGCCTGCAGCCGGTTGTCCAGTTCGTCGAGCGCCGACAGTGAGGCGGTCGTCGTGGTGGCCGTTAGCAGGGTGGACAGATTGCTGCCGGCGGAATCGCCAGATGAATCCGTATCCGCATCCGGATTCGGTTTGGCGGGACCGATGTCGATGTCGCTGAGCTGATTGGCCAGCGGATCCTCGTCGTAAGGATCGTAGGGGGGTCTTAATTATTGCTTGAACACGAACAGACCCGTGGGGTCCCACTCGTTGTCGTCGACGGGGCCGAAGCACTCATCGAAATACCATTCCATTGTCTTGTAGACATGGCTCAATGATCTGGCAATGGCATGGTCTTCATCCGGATAAACCTGATGCCGGAACTTAACCTGCTGCTCCACAAGAGCACGAACTAGCATCAATGTGTGCTCTTGGTGCACCAATGTGTCGGCGGTGCCGTGCATCAGCATCAGGTTGCGGCCCTTGATGTTGCCCGCCTTCATCGTGAGATCCGCCTCCTGGAGAGCTCGCAAATAGTCACCCTTCAAGGGTATATAGCGCTCCGTGAAGAAGGAATCTGCACAAAGAAAAGTCCATTAGTTTCCCATTTAAATTACTAAGTGAATTTCAACTCACAGTGGAATCCAAAGTTGACAATTGGATTGATGGCCACCGCACACTGAAGCACCTGTTGGGAGTCATCGATGAGCATCATGGAGGAAGCATAGCCACCGTAACCCCAGCCAAAGGCGCATATCCTCAGAGGATCGATGAATTTCAGGTTATCCCGCAAGTATCTATGGATCATATGACATTAGATTGGCTATCCCTCAGATGGTATATAAATCCCTTACGTTAGGACTCCCAGTTGATCCTCCACCTCGACAGTGCCCAATTTACCATGGACCTGGGTGCGAAGCAGCTCACCCTGGAAGCCACTGCCACGGCCATCGATCTGGGCCACTATAAAGCTGCGCTGGCTGGCCAAATACCAGTTCCAGTCCACATGGAAGCGCTCTGTTACCAATTGCGATCCTGGCGAGGCGTCACTGTAGGTTGGACAAAATAAATAAAGATCACCAGGTACTCAAAAATAATAATAATAACAACTTACACATGGAGAACCAATGGAAAGGCGACGTCCTCCTCCTCTCGCATTCCGGGTGGCAGGAAGAGTCGCACCTGGGCGTGGAATCCATGACGGATTTCCACGCTGAAAGTGCGTGATTGTGGAACGGCGAGCTGCGATAACCGATGGCGCAGAACATCGCCGGCATTCAGGACATAGATCTTGTCATTACTGGCCGTCTCCACGAGGTAAACACTCGGCGCCTCCGGACCCAGACATTCCTGCACATAGTAGCTATAGTCCTGGCTGAACTGCACCCGATTGTACAGACAATTCTTTGGAATATCATAGAGGCAATCGTCTGGCTCCAAGCGAGCCACAATATCCTCCCATCGATCGCCTCTCTGCGAGATCCTGGCCCGGTGAAGCCTGTACGTCGACTCTGTATTATCGCATGTCAGGCACGTGGGCGATGTCGAGGTTATATATGTCCTATTCGATTCCGTAACATTAAGTTTTAGATTGATCTTGTACAGATGCCTTTCGCCTGGTCTCTTCTCCGGCGCAGCCATAAAGTACACAATCTCATGCGGTTCATCCCAGCCGACAATTTCGGTTACCTCAAATCTGCCCATAGTCAGAGGAACGGGCCGTCGGTCCAGCGAGGATATGAAGACCACATGACGATAGTGCCCGTGCTCACCATCCCGGACTGGCAAACGTTTCAACAGATAGCCACCATTGCTGATCTCATGCGTCTGTCCATCTGTTATGTTCAAATTCTGACTTTCCGGCTGAAGTTCCTCCGGATTCTGGAAGCCCTTGGCCAACTGTTTCTGCACCTGATTGCGGGCCGAGAAGATGGGTCGCTCGGCTGGCAAAACCCAGCCATCATTGATGGTCACCTCCGTGTGCACTGCCTGGCAATGGAAATGTGGAGCTCGGCAGAGAACTGTGGTGGCCTTGGTCTGTTCCCGGTTGGTCACCGTCACCGAAAGGTCACTGGCCGAGGCCCAGGTCAAGCCACCTACATAACTACCATTGGACAGTTCCCCGGGCAGTTTGATTTGCGTGGGAAATATGTACTTGATCACCGAGAGATTGACCACATTCACCGTCACATTTGGATTGCGGGAACCGGTCTTTGGATAGCGTTGACTCATCACTGCCGGATACTTGATATCGTCACCCATCCAGGTGTATCTGAAGATAGGAAGGATTAATACAAGAATACCTAAACCCATTACAGTTTCCACTCACTTGTACTCGTTGACCTCGCTGTCATTGTAGCTGAGGAAGGCCAAATAGAGTCCATCCGGCGAGAACTCCATGCTGCTCTTCCGGCTCTCCAGTTCCGGCACATTTTCATACGTCCAATCGGGCACCCCATTAAAGACCACGCCTCCTGAGGATTCACCGTCTGGTGATTCAGATCCGGACCCCGATTGAGTTATCCGGCAGACGAGTTCCCCCTGCACTTTCGGCTTGTAGTAGATGTCGTTGTGATGCACAAAGGCGATGGCTTGGTTCAGGGTATAACCACTGGCCTTGCCATTTGAATTTGGGGCTGCGGAGCCCGAGGATCCCGCTGAACCTGGTCCATTAGCCGCTCCGGCCAGGCTGTTTAGGATTATGCTGCCACTGGGCAGGGGAGCCATTGTGGTAGTACTGGCACCATTGGCACCATTGGAACCACCGGGTGGTGGTGCACCTAGCGGTGGTGGCGGATTCACTGGTGCCCACACCACATGCTGAAGACGTGGCGCCTCCGCTATATTTTCCGTTGGTCCCAGCGGAAATGTGTTGGCTGTCTGCACTTCGTATACGTGATGTCTGTCCAATAGCAGATAATAAAGATAAAGTTAAAGTTAGAATCAAGTTAGGTAACTGTCTTAAGAACATAGAATGGAACCCACCTTGAGCCCTCGGCATTGGAGTCCGACTGCAAGAGTACGTATTTCTGGTCAGGAGCCACAAGAAATGATTCCGCATTCAATTGGCGCTGAAATATATCCATCAATTAAACTTAAATACATATTTTAAATCCATTAACTAAACTTACAAATGTTGAGTTGGTCATAAGAATGCGTGTGGTGAGATCGGCCATATTGAGAATGGAAAGGCCGCCCGTTGGATCTCGATAAATGAGCTCACGACCTGTAAAAAATATTAAAGATTAAAAAGGATTATGGTAAATGATGATCAAAATCCTCACCATTGCTCCAGGTGCCGTTGAATGGCTTCCATTGGAGGCTCCTGCCCAGAATGTCGCTGGGCAGCATTCGGCGACCACGGATCCGCAGGCCCTCATCCTCCGGTGACAGCAGGAAGATCGAGAATATGATCAGGCTGAAGACGGCGGCAATAACCAGCAGGGCAATGAAGATTCCACGCCAGTTTCGGCGCTCCGGAGAAATAGCCACCAGTTCCTGTAAAATACAAAATATTTCTTTAAGTACCATGAAAAACTTAAGACCAGAAAAGACGTTAGTTGATGTCCAAAATAATGGAGCGGATGGGTTTTACATTTAACAAAATTGTTGAATTTTTTTAAATTTTAATAAAAGAAAATATTTAATTTTTTGAATTTTAACGGTTTTTTTAAATCAGTGATAGTTTGAATAACAACGGAAAATTTGAAGATCAACGGCAAAATTCGAAAGTTAACAGAAATGTAAGTTAACATGAATTCAACGGCCAATTTGAATGTTAACGGCTATGTTAATATGAATTTCAATGTTAACTGCATATTCTGTTATCTCAATGTTAAGCCAAATTTTTTTTGCGTTCCAGGGTATAAATAATTCCCAACAAGTTCTCGTCCAAATGTAGCTACCTAGACTCTGCGGACCACCAAAAATTCAGTCAAGTCATTACAATGTGAGTGTGTTTGTGTTAGTAAGGTGCCTGCAAGTGATCTGGATGACGTGGCGATGGTATCCCATCATAATGGTGGTACCTCATGGACCCCAGGAGGAAGCAGTGCATCATGGAATTTTTCGGAAGTCCATATTTGAGACTTTTGATGACTTGGATGCTGGATATATATGACGATGACTGCTTCACCACAACTGCACTTCCGCAAACCGGAAATCAAGGTAAGTGGCAAACTTTTCTATATTTTACTGCATGAGCCGAGGGGCATATAAGACCAATAATCGACAGTTTTTGCGATGGCTTGCACGCCGTTAATGCAATGTGGTTAGATGTGGTTAAGAATAAGTTAAGTTAAGTTTAGTTAAGTTTGCCCGGCTGTGGTAAATGCCAGTCCCAGTCGTCATTTTTGCGGAACATGGATAAAAATTAAAAATTTTAGGTGTGAATGGAGTTTTGTTAGAAATTTAAAACCCAATCCAATGAGGAATGCCATTCGAGATTCGGATAATTATTGACTGAGTTATCGGCATAATACTGTTATTCTGAGGGAGCAATCGGCATAAACTAAATTTCGAATTTTCGATAAGGGGTAACCATTATCAATTTTTGCAAAAAATTCACAAAAGTTAAGAAATTTAGCTGTGAGTGCAGTTTTGTTGGAAATTTAATTATGAATTCAACGAGGTATGACATTTCGTATTTGGACCAATATTTCTATTGCTGTAAAATATCAATTATTTTTTGGCGAAAAACGAAAGAACGACTTTTTTTTGATAGTTTTTTAACCCCTTTCGATATCCCTTAGAATCAGCCTCATCCTACATATACTTTTAATTTATATTTATAATATATATTCTATAAATTTAAATGCACTGGCAAGTTGGAAAATCATTTTATTCCATTCAAGGCAAACTCATAAAAATATTTCTGGCTTTTCACTCCTTTTTCTTATTCCATATTTCATATTGGCCATTTGGCCATTTGGCCCTTTAATTGGTTAATTGCATTAGGCTGCGCCTTGTTTTCCGACCCCCTTCGTTTTAATTAAACTAATGGTCTGGCATTGAGTATTTCTCAAATTGTGGATGTAGAGGGAGTAGTTTGAGGATTTGTCAGGAAAGCGTTAGGGCGATGGTTCAGGTTGGAAATATATTGGCCTTATTAAATAGTATTGATCAGTTTACTCTGCCTTTTTCCATACTTTATGTCTTAGACCTAATTAATTCAAATTAAGAATAAACCTGCTTAAATGCTAAACTATTTGAATGCACTTTACATGTGGGTCACACACCCAAGTCGCCCACCTAATCTCCTGCCTCCACTCAATTTCCACTTAGTCAGGTCTCGGATTTCTTATCGAAGGACTAGGAGCTTGCAGCTTGGAGCTCAGAGCTCAGAGCATTTGGATATGGTTGTGGTTCGAGTTGCCATTCGTTTTCCCTTTCGCATTTGGCAAATTCGATTCCGGCCGTAGTCCCCGAAGTGGTTTACATTCGCAATCAATGGCATTGCTTGTGATGAAATTGAATTAAAAATTGATATGCGCTTGGCTGTGGCAATGTGTGAATGGAAATGGGAAATGGAAAATGCTAAATGAAAGCAGAGTACAGAAAACAGAAAACAGAAAAGAGGATTTCCCGGCTGACGTCTGAGGGCGAAAGTGCTAATTGAAATTAGTTGTCCGGACTTGCAGAGCAACAAATAAAATTCATTTCGTCAAGGAGAAAGTTTTGGCCAAAAAAAGGAGAAAGACCAGAGATCACTGCACTATTTTTTATAGCCAGTCTTTATTTTTTTTCTCTTTCTTTTTTGCTGTGGGTAGTTAAATCCACTTTGGGTCTTAAAAACTGCCATCTGAGTTGATTTTCCGTTGACGAGCCATCAAAAAGTTTTGAAGCTTTTTACGAATTCGGTATAGTTTTACTGTTTTTATGGCCGCTATTAAATTCCATCAGATTTAACTCGATTTTGCGTTGTTCCTCAGCTTTATGACCGACCTAATGGATATCATCCTTGAGTTAATAAATAAGGGGGATATATATAATTTATGTGGACTTTAAATTAGGTCAATAGCATGCAGCCAATTTATTAAATTTGTGCAAGGATTTATGCCAATAATCAGTAATTAATGTGCATACGATTTATGGAAATATTTTCGTGACATTTATTATTTAATTTGCATAAGTGGAGTGCCTTTCCTCTGACAGATATTAATGATTGAATCACAAAACTAAAAAGAACCCAATGAGTTTTTACCATGACCTGTTTAATTATCTGTAAAATACAAAGGCCCATCATAAATAATTTGATTACCTAGAAATATTTAATTTCCTTTTTAGTGCAATTAATCAAACTTTTCAGCAAACATCAGGCCAACAATTCCAAATTAAACAAAAGCTGCCGAAGGGCTAAAGTTAAATTTCGCATGTGAACAAGTTTTCCGGAAACACGAGAAGTTCAAACACTGGCGAAAACTGGCAAATTAATTGCAAAAGTGGGAACAGGATACGGAAATGGAAATGGAAAACTCAGGGAAAACCGCAGACAAAAGTCCCTCTCTTTCTCTCCTGCTGTACAAAACGGTACAACATCAATTTATGGCCACAAAAAGGGAGAGACAATGGCAAATTGTCTGGCATTTGATGGCGGCCCAATTGTCCTTCGTCCTGCGGCCTCTTTTTATTGCCATTGGACACTGGCACTGCCACTGCCATGTGGCCGGGCCGTTGATGTTCCTTCATTAGCTATTAATGCTAGCCTGGACATAAAAAGGTGTGACAATTGTCGGTGCCAACAATGGGAGTGGACCGAAAATGTAAGGACCTCTTGATGGCACTCGACTGGCAGGATACCTTCCAACAAGCCTCTCAAATGTAGTTTAAACAATTGAATTTTATTCGAGAAGACTTGAAGTTTGTTGTCGATGATTTTAGAAACACTCTTGGGTGTTTAGAAAATGTCTTTAAAATGTTTTAAGTTGTTTAAATTCTGATAGCAAAGAGAAAGTTGTAGAAGCTATCCGATACTTTTTATGACTTGGATTTAAATTTTGGCATTTAGTATGCCTGAATCAATGTTTTCTTTTGGCTTTCCTCTTGCTTATTGCTAATATACCCGAAGGCCTGGCACACGGGGCGTATACGTGGCTAAGAGTGTACGCATAATTTATGTGCAAATGACTGGAGTTGTTGGCGGCTTTTCTTGTTGTTCTTGGCCCGTTGCCGTCGTTGTCAGAACGGTTCTTTGTTGTTGGTCCTTGGGCAGGACGCCAAATGCAGGCGCTTTGTGAATGCGTTCACAGCTCATTAAATGCCCATTGGTGGAAAGTGCGGAGATGGGTACGCCTCATCCGGCTGTATTATCGATTGCGAGCGTTGCATTTGCATTTGCATTTCGTATTCCGTATTCTGGATTCCGGATTCGGGTTTCCGGTTCCCTCTGTTCCCCTGTTCACTGTTATCCGGATTCGGGCTGCGGCCACCGTGTCTTTTCCCGTAATTTTCTGTGATTACATCTCGACTTGTCTTTCGATTGTTCGATGCTCGCCCCTCGCCGAATGCACCGAGAAAATTAATTATGAAAAAGTCATCTTTTACATTAATAGATGCCTGAATGATTAACTTCCGATTTGCAGTTCTAATAAAAATTAGTCACAAAATCTTTCTTGGCTGTCAAACTTTTTAAGTTAATAACAAAGCAGTTTCGGAACAAAATAGCAAAGCATTTAAACTTTGAACTAAATTTTAATGAGACTTTAACTATCTGGTTACCAGTTGCAAAAACAGAATTTCTGCCTTTGTGCTGGGGTGCAAAAAGAAAAACAGCAGAGGAAAACCTTTCTGCTATTTTCAATGGGGTTTGTTTGTTTGTTTTTTCTTTTTTTTTTTTTTTTTGCTCCATTAAACTGCAACCAAAGCCGACAGCTGACAAAGCCATGTTCAAATCGGATGGGTTGGTTTTGTGGGCTGAACTGGGTTTGGTTCTGACTCGGGTTTGGGTTTGGGTTTGGGTTAGGATGCATCTTTTATGGTCTGCCACTCCACAGAGAAGATGCCACTGACAAGTGCATATGCTTGAGGAGGATACTTTGTTATTGTTGATTCTACCTACACGTTGCTGTTTGCGTTTGTGTTTGTGTTTGCCTTTGCGGTCGGACCACAAAGGTTTGTTTTCCACCTATCCTTGTGTCCGTATCCACCGTAAACCTGGCTGGCCATGATTGCATTTTCCGACTTGGTCTGCAGTTGATAACTCACTTGCCAGGATTATGGCACACCACCGCCCACCACCACCCCGAAAAAAAAGCTAACATCCTGCTCAAACTATTTCATTTTCCTATGGCAAATAATTACCCAGCACAAAGGATGTTCAATCAACAACAGAAACAATGATGAAAAACGATGATGGTGTGGAAAAAGAAAGGGAAACCACTCCAATGGAAAAATATATTATATATGAAACTTGAATGTTAGTTTTTTTTAGTTTTCAACAAAAAGCCATGAAAAGTTTTGAACTTCCATTTAAAAAATATTACTTTTTCTATTACTAAAAC